GATCGCCTGCGCTCAAACGCCATCGGGGAGTGGGAGCAGAGGCTGGAGCACCCATGTGCTGGCCTAAGAACAGTAGAGGCCATACGTCCTGTCCTCAGGAGGTGGCTGGACAGGCGACACGGCACCCTCACCTACCGTGCAACGCAGATCCTCTCGGGACATGGTTGTTTCGGAAGGTATCTGTTTGTGTGTATCGCGTAGTGAGGAAGGAACCCACAGCGGAACCACTGCCACCACTGTGACGTATGTGCCGAGGAGACGGCGCAACACACGCTGGAGGAGTGCCCAGCCTGGACGGAGCAGCGCCGAGAGCTGTGCACTATCGTGGGGTACGACCTCTCGCTGCCGGCCGCGCTATGGTTGATAGCGAGAGAGCGTGGGGTGCTGTCCTCGCAATGCGAGGATGTTGTTAGTCGTAACAGTCCTTAGGCGTGCTGTTCGTTTTTTTACAGCTCTATTGTATCTTTTCTTATACTTTTCATAATTTGCTTTCATTTTCTCTAACTCTTCCTTGAATTTATAATTAGATTTTTTCTTAATAGTTTAGATCTGTTTCTTTTAACTTCTTTTCTACCTCGGAGATATTATGTTGGGACTTGCCCTACTGTCTGAGGACTGAGGAGTAGATAAACGATGAACTGGCCTGTTTCGGTGGAAAAGCACGTGGAATGTCAGATATAGAAGGTGGTGGTGTCTCAACATCTGGCGTTGATTCCGGCGCATTCATAATTACTCGAAGAGGTCTTTGTCGATTTTTTCTTGTAGTATTCGTCAACTCGCCATTTTTTTTTTGCATAATCGATGGTCACGCGGAGTCAGGTCTTTTACCAAGCGTTTATTTTTATGATATCTCTCTAGATCCTTTTGCTTAGCTTCTGCTACCTTTTCCGGATATAATTTGCGCTTTTCTCTGTAACGTCGTTGCTTTCCAGTAGCAGTAAGAGCCATAGCGATGTATTGTAGTACTATCTAGAACAAAATGACTAATTTATTAGATGATTATATAATAATATTGCTGCTATAATATATACAGACAGATCGATGACGACTTATAACTACTAATAGTTCAATAATGACAACTCTGTTACCAGTCTACAACTCTGTTACTTCTACGAGGTAACATAGTGGTGCAGTAACAGAGTAGTAAATTCAACACTAAGAGTAATTTATTCTTAAAATAAAATTATATTTTGACAAAATAAAAACAGATTAGACAATTATTCCCTAAATGCTATATTTCATTTATTAAATTATGTAGAAATATATGCATACTTACATCAAAACGCCGGTAACATAGCACACTCAGAATAAAACCACGCACCTCACATCGCAACTAACGGACGATTGATTTGCGTACGCCGCGCCCTACCCACCTCAGAAAGAGTCGAAGCAACAGAACACATTATGACCCCACCGTTGTGAACGGAACGGTAGCGCCATCGCTTAGTATTTGTCTATGGTAACAGAAAGGTGCGACGGTTATTACAACGACCGCGGGACTAAATCTTATATAATCATAGATGATCCAATAAATTTATTAAATAGGCAAGGATAGTTTTTTTTAAAATAATATATCCGTAATTATTACAAATATTAACCAAAACAATAATAAAATTTTAATAAAAAGATATTGTGATTTTTGCATAGTGCCATGAGATGTGGGACAGAAATTTCTTGTATGTAAAACACCTCTGTTACCATGAATTACTATTCTGTTACCTGATAAAAACGGTGATAAATCGATAATAACTCAGTTTTTCTTTTGAAAATATATTAATTTATTTGTACTTTAACTTAAAACGCTAAAACACAACTTCAATATTTAAAAAATATTGGTGAACAAACAGTTTTTGCTTGGGGACAACATTTTCTGCCACCGATTTTAAATTGACCCACCCACGTTTAGTTTGCATAAACGCTCTCTTTTGCTACTGGTAATCGACGGCTATTCGCCTGACACTTGAGCGTTTTGAACAATAGTCGATTGCAATACCGCCACTAGTTGCTTGAATTAGGACAAAATCTTCGCCCTTTCTAAGGTAATGTATGTGCTCAATCTTAGAACAGTTACTACGGAACCCAGCTTGCCATTTTGGTTGTTTTTTTTTATTATTTTTTATTTTTATTCACTGTGTATTTAACACAGAGGCCTACATGGGGCAAATCATAATTTACTTCATTTTGTAATGAAGAAATGTGAACTCTCTTAACCCATGACGAATCACTTATATCATCCCCACCGATCAGAAGCAGACCCGCATGAATCGGCAATGCGGTGCTGCTATCGTTCGAAAATTATATGCGTTTCTAGAGCATGATTTCTTAGCGGGCCGGTTGACTGACGTAAGAAATCGCTTATGCATTCAACGTTTTGTCACTTTACTTGTATGCATAACATGAGCTTATTGAGGAGCTTTACAAGGAAGTAGAGGAGTTAGTTTTCGAGGGCGTTGTGCGAGCGCCACATGAAGGCGTCTTGGTGACCATGTGGTCACGAAACAGTTAACGCGGGCCGTGGTTTGTTTAACAAGTGACGTAACGCCGTCTGGCCACGCCCAAAGCTCGGCAAGGTTGGCACGCACGGCCGTGCCAAGTGACGCAATTTTGTCCCTCCCTTATGAGTTCTTAAATATTAATTGATAACCAATAATAGGCTAATATATATAATTCTTCTGTGCGTGTGTATGTCACTGAACTCCTCCTAAACGGATGGACCGATTTTAAGGAAATGTTTTTTGTGTGTCTTCTGGTCGATTCGAGACTGGTTTAGATTCACAATTCCACAGGCCCACTACAGCTTTTTTCAATTTTTTCATTTATAAGTTGTTGTCGGATTTAAGTCGTGTGTACAGGACGATGACTTTCGGGTCCGCTAGTGGGCTATAAAATAATTTAATTCAATAGGGTTTTACGTAGGTAATTATTTTGTGTTTACGGGAATTATTGTCCTTAAAAATTTAACCATATCTGAATTTAGTGGCTGGCTATTCATGACAGCTCAGTGTCCAGGCGCTTGCATTTAATTTCAATATACTGGCGTAACCTGAGTTAAAGTCTCGGTGCCGGAACCAATGAAATTGTTTATTTTAAGTGATGACTTATTAAGTGCTCAGCGGTGAAGGAAACATCGTGAGGAAGGAAACCTGTATACTTTCGTAATAATAACAAAAAACATTTCGAAGATATGTGATCTGCCAATCCGCAGTGGGGTTGCGTGGTTGATTATTGCCCTAATACCCTGTACAAAACGATTTTACCCAACCGTGGGACATATATATAGACTGTTGCTTTAGTTTACTTAGTAGCTAGAAGGTATCCAATTTTGCTAGTTTCTGTCCATTTAAGCTTATCACACAGAGCCTGCTGCTATCTAAACATTGTCTGAACTCCCTGTACTAAACACTTGACCAGTGTAAATCGGGCTTACGATCTACGATACGAAAGGACGGTCGATCCGTTTGCCCTCGTCGCACAAATATCGCATCAATTGAATGTTACTTTGCCCGTTGCAGTTACATAAGTTTGTTCGCTTAATTCAAAAGGCGAAACCAGCTTTTTGTAGTCGTTGTAGCACCAAACTGTGCCGTTTAATGAAAGTTGTATAATCGATTGTTTGATTATGGTTTGAAGATAACATTATTGAAATTAACGGTGAAAGTTGCCTTGTTGAGTAAAAGATTAACAGCACATTATTTAATAATGATTATATTAGCTGCTTCTTTATCTCCATTACTTCGTCAGTCCAGAATAAATTTAACTATTATTGTTTACATTCACGTAGGTCTTCTCTGTAAAATATTAACTAACTATAATAATGCATTGCATTGAGTTAAGCTTAGCTTTTGTATATTACTTACATTTTAATTTTTTTTATCCTGTGTTTTGTGTACAATAAATACATAAATAAATAAAAAATATTATATAATACGTTAGGTTCGCCGGTTCGTATCATGTTCATTTACACACTTTTTTTTTACTTTTTTTTCTTTACCAGATCATTGCCTTCTTAATTTTTTTATTTTGTTATTTCCAAAATACATGATTTACAAAAAAAAAAAACGAGCAAAGCTCGGTCCTCCGGGTACTATAATTATAAGCATATAACTATTATATTACCGGGTGAAGTTTTTCTTATTTTTGTTACTTTTTTTAGCAAGCCCCGGGCTTGCTAAAAAAAGTAACAAAAATAAGTAATAATTGTGATCAAAAATAGCTCAAGCGAAAGATCAATGATTGATTGAAGTGATTTATCTTGGTATTAAAATGTGTAAAAAAAAGTATTAAAAGTTTTTCGCCGCTGTGGGAATCGAAATCACGTCTTCGGGATTCGGGCCCTGACGTGCTTTAGCCACGAAAATTATTAGCCCCATTTATCTAGGGTCAAAATAACGGTTCATTCTACTTACATTAGAGAGTTTTGAACCAATGTCTATTTCTGCATTTTTTACGATTTTAATCGTAAATTCTGCAAAAACGACCAAACACAAGGACAATGAAGCTTACGATTACTATTTTTTAATCCACAGGTAATTTTGAATTCACGATTACTTCCATAAATACAGTCGTACGTCGTTCGACGCTTTTGAAAATAGGGACGTGACCTAACATTGATCTAGAATCTTGATTCGTAGGATGCGTCCCAATCATGACGGAGACGTCTCAATAGGCCTTTATTTTTAAAATCATTTAAAGTTTTTGCAATCTTCTATAAGAATATATTTTTTATGCTATGTCTAATTAATTAGATATTTACGAGGGATTTTGTTATATCAGTGCTTTGAAAATTCATTATGATTCACCTTTCATCTATTTAAATTTTTGAGTCACAAATCAGAAATGCCGTCGATCATCTATAGATTGAAAAGATATAATCACCTTGTTCGAGTTTTCGTAACATATTGAGATTCATAAATATATGATTGAATTAAAAATATTTAGATGGTAATTAATTATTTTCGAAACTACTAGTAAATTGATATGCAATTTCGTTCTATCCGTAGGACCAGGAACACCTCAAGCCACCGATAGTTGGCGGGCTGGCTAACGCAGAGCTGTACTGTCTAGCGCTGGCCAACATGTATTCGGACCCGAACTACCACAGCCTGAACCATTGGAACATCCTGAATACGCTGGCTCGCAAGGGCGTGCCGGTGCCGGACCCAGCTGACTGCGCCCTCACCGAGACGGTGCTGATACAAACGAACCCGCTTAAAATGGTGAGTAAGGCACATGCTCGGTCTTCCCAGTCTGATAGTCTTCGTATTGAAAGCGAGAAAATCATTCAAGAAAGAGACAGATAAATGATTTGGCAGCAAACCGGCTATACCGCAGGTGATGGAAAGTGTGGCAAACGATCCGGTGGATTGATTGATCCTCGTTGGAAGGCGAGATGGCAAACATGAACTGGCAGTCTCACTCACCAGATAAATCTAAAAATATAAAAGGTTAAATATAAATAATCACGGTGGTAGGGCCACGCAAAATTGTTGCACGAATGGGCAGATCCGTCCGGGTAAGTACCACGACCTCACAGCAGACCGGCGCAAAGTAGAAGTGTATCACTTCTGCGTTTCGTCTGGTGAGTGAGGTAGACGGGGTCCACTTTATTTAAATGTGGCAACGCAACCTACGAGCATGGACATTTGCAACCCTACGAGTTTTGAAAATGTCCATGGGCGGCGGTTATTACTTAACATCTGGTGAACCGCCTGCTCGTTTGCCACTTTTTCACATAAAAAAAATGCTACTGCATTTCCGTCTTCTGTGATGCACATCGCTCGATGATTATTACGGATTGACTGAAAGAACTCCAAAAGGCATTAAGTTCGCCAGTTGTAATTCTTGTTTAAGGGAATTGCAATATAGTTAAAAAAATACATGTAGTCGAACATGTAAACTCCTCCTTTTATGAAGTCGGTCAAAAAATAAGATAATAAAGGTCCAGACGATCTAACTATAACTGAATCTCCTCTTCGACTCTACCACAGCAAAAATCAAGACAATTTATTAAATAATTTATCATGTCTCATACAGTCATATCATATTATTGACACAGCCAGTAGCAAAGTATAAACAGACCAGTTTAGGCCGTCCAAGAGCTAGATAACGATGACACAAAACTAAGTTCATTAAACCGAATTTATCACAACATATTTCGAGTAATAAGGAATACTATCGCTCGTCTAACATAACAAAACTTTCTCTAACAAAAGTCTATGCTTATTACGACTCGACCAAAATTTAACTGCTTTACTCTGTGACCATGAGCATTCCACGCTCATCGATACAATTCGGAAATAATGATGATTCATAAAATCAGACATCGCTCGATGATTGACGACAATTCTCGGTCGGTCGTGACGGATTAGAACCGAGCGTCCCACGCGCACGATTCATTAAGGCTCGAAGCCATAGGTGCCGCGTTTTCAGTGGGCGAATGTTTGCAAGTCCGATCCATCTGCACACAGTTTTGTAACTGTTTGACGAATTAAGTGGTATTTAAAATGGGATAAACAGTTCAGGATTTACAAATGTAACATAGGTTTTTGTTACCGAAACATTTTATTTGGGATGGCAATCGATATATTCTAATGCCTGCTTCACCGTTGGAAGTTACGAGGCATGTTTAATATTCCAATTTCCGCATTAACTGTTAACGAGGATATCCCTGATTTGTTAAACAATCATGTCCGATAAGTAAGGTGAAAGGCCTATTTATTATGTATCAAAGGTAATTGTTTTTATAGTATTAGAGTCGTCGTCTCTCGCGTATTATTTTATAAGCTATAATATTTTTTTATTAGGTTGATTAGTTTTATTTTATTTTAAATTTTGAAAAAAGTCGTACTTCGTATAATATACTATTATAAATTATTTTCTTATTCTTAAAAATTCATGAATAATACAATATTATTTATTTCAGTGATGAATATTTAATTACAGTACCTTTTTTTAAATTATATATTGCTTCCTAACGTAACTAGTTACGATTAATTAATTGATCTCTAACGATTTATTCTTGTTTACAGTCTTAATTATTCATCGAATTAGCCATAAATACCTGATGCATTCGTAAATAGATTCTATGTATTTATGTCGACGATCTGTTAGAAAATATATCATGTTAAACCGAAAGTTTACTGCGAACGTTCCAGTAGTGTGGGTTGAACCTTATAAGGCGAGCGAAAAGTTGCAGTGTTCGACTTAATCCGTCTTTGGACTGGATACCGCTTCGATGTCGACAGCATCGATAATAATTTAACCATTGCTCGCGTAAACACCCAATTGATTTGCTGATCGCAGATATTTCTATTACTGTGTATATAGATTTATCTCTAATAATAAGAAGTAATCTATTTATTTTAGTTATACGAATTATTTGGGTTGGGTGATTCGTCTAAATAAATTGAGATAGTTCGACTTCGGATAAGTGTGATTGTAATTATTTAATTTTTAAAGTATGTGACAACACTTAAATTTCTTTCAATGATGTTTTTCCGTTACGTATGTTTTGATAGTTAAAGAAAACGACCTTACTGTTCTATCTGTCCTGTGTCGTAATGGTGTTTAATTGATAAGAATTATAGACGTTTGTCTATATTACTTTATTCAATATGTTTGTTTGTAGATTAAACACATATTTGTCGATGATTAATTACCGAAGCGCACTTAGCCACTGTGTCAACTCAGCCGAATGGGTTAAACAACTACTATCGTTACTTTACAGAGCGCTCACATGGCGGTTATAGAAGCGTTGATGGCGCTGTACGCGCGGGAAGTTGTCACCGGCGATCGAGTGGCGGCAGCGATACAGCGCTTCGGGGTGCCAATACCACCGCCCGCGGCTTTGGCTAACCACGAGGACGGGCTGCTCAGCTGGATCAATGCAGCGTGCGCAGCGCTCAACAGCGCAGAGGTGAACCTTTTAGACAATGGATCTAGTCTTACAACGATTGGAGGCTAGGCTCCTGTGAGGACAGCGTTGTATTGGAGGGCCACGCAACAGTTTTCGCTGTTGCACGAATGGGCAGGTCCGCCCGCGTAAGTATCGCGACCTCACAGAAGACCGGCGTAAAGTGTAAGTGTTGTACTTCTGCGTTTCGTCTGGTGAGTGAGCCGGGGCCCACTTTATTGAGCGGTGGCAACTCTACGGGTGTTGCAAAATATGTCAATGGACGGCGGCTATCACTTGACAGCAGGTGAACCGCCAGCTCGCTTGCCACCTTCTCACTTAAAAAAAGTGTCTGCTGCCCACTTCTTTAAAACGCTGGCAACGCATCGGCAACCCGAAATGCGCTGTAGATGTCCACGGACGTCGGTAATCAATTAACACAGCAGGTGTCTTTACTATCAAGTCTGAATGGCCAACTAGAATCCGGGGGGTAGGTAGTGATGGGATTACGTTGCGTGTCCCGCAGGACGAGACGTCGCGCTGCGTGCCGAGCCTGCGCTCCCTGCAGGAGGCCTGCGACGGCACCGCCCTAGCGGCGCTCGTCTCCTTCTACTGCCCGGAGGCGCTGCCCCGCGGCGCGGTGCGCGTCGGCCGCATGGCCTCGATCCACGACTGCCTGCACAACCTGATGCTGGTGCGCGACTTCTGCCGCGAGCGGCTGCCGCACGACGTGTTCCACATGCTGCCCGAGGACGTCGCCTACATGCGCGGGTGAGCGAGACGGTTTTGGTAGAGAGAGAGAGAGAGAGAGAGAGTGGGAGAGAGATGTGCGGCAAACAAGTCTGAAGATACAGGTGAGCTACGAGCAGGACATAGCCCATGGAGTGCTGCCCTCTCGTTTGTGCAACACTTAGATCGGTTTGTGTCTTGCTTCCATTACTCGCTCAATTACAGTTGCGCGCACTTTTCTTATTCCGTTCTGAGAATTTCGTATCCTTTAGTTGGGAAGACATTTTTAAGGTGGCTTTATGTTTTGCACGACGGTGCCTTCACAGAAATAGCGGAGCCAATATCACTCGGGCATGTTTCCATAATCCATATTTTCAATTATCTATTTGTAAGACATTTTTACAGGAGTACCAACTTCGATGGCTTTGTTCAGGACGTGTAGCGCGATGTTACATGGAAAACGTATAAACTTTCCAGATCCATGCGTCAGAACCTCGTTGCGATGCTCGCCGATCTCTTCAACGTGCTAGAAGTCCATCCCGTGAAGTCCGTAAAATATCCAGGCATCGGTGAGTACATCCGATCTGGGCTACTGCTAACATTAACCTATATATTTACCGATGTTGCATGCACTAGAACTTTAATGGGAGTATGTGGTCATAATATCAAAGGTCCTGTGCCCACTAATTTGGTCTATTTACCCCTTTATAGAGAGTCGATAATTGTGGGGAGGTCCAATACGCTTTTGTAACGCAAATTGTACACATTAGGCGAATCTGGGCTTTGTGGTTATACATTAATTTTAATACGGACGTTTTGAATGAACGCAACACTTTTATTTGCAGTAAGAATTATAATTTTAGGAATAACACCTATATAGTTTAGTTGACTCCGTCCGAGTACAGATATTCGTTACGAGGTAAGTCGTTTTAAGATACTACGAATGACTTAAGAATGTCGCTTCGCTGAATACAGTCTCATGCTCTATCGGGTCACCCTGTCCTTTACAAAGACCCCCGAATCACTGTTATGATCGTTCACACGCATTATTCTCGACCTTAGTTCATACTGTCTCTGTAATATAGCTAAGTAAAAAATTGATCCATTCGGCCATAGAGTACAGTGCACTGTCAGACATTAACCCTATTCCGAACTGTCAAAGTGAATTGGTATGCGCTTCGGCCACCTAACATTCAGTCGATCGCATCGGAGTTGTACTGCGCGGGCGCGTCGGTAAGTGAAGGCAGGGTGACAGTGCGGCCGACGCCCGTGCGTTCGCGCGCGCGTGCGTGTGTGCGTGCGTGCGTTCGTGTGTACGTGCGTGCGTGCGGCTGAGCGTGCGTGTGCGCGTGTCCGCAGCGCGGGCGGACAGCAACGCGCACGGCGTGCGCCACAAGCGCTGCCTGCCGCCGCCGTCGCCGGTGCCCATCCCGGACCTGCGCGGCGACGCCCACGCCCACCCCCACGCCCACGCGGCGTACGCGCCCCTGCCAGGTATCCGTCGTCGTGCCCCGTGTGTGTGTCCCACTCGCGCCCCACTCGTGCCCACGCCGCGTGGGAACGCCCCTCGTTCGGAGAGACAACCCATGCCCACGGATTTCCTTTTCTAACGCTCCAATCAAAAAGTGTGCTTATACTGTTTTTAAAGACGAATTAAAGCAAAAAAAGTTTGGTTTCCTATTGTACTATAATATCCTTCCTATATAGTCCTTTTAAAGACTATAGTTTTGGTTTTCATTTTATGAAAATTCGAAAATCTCTCTTACGGTTTATTGCGACATTCGGTTGTCTTCTCCGAAAATTGCAGGTTTGTTCGCACATCGCACTGGTCCGTGTGCGTTGTCGTTCGTAATGCTTAATTTCTATTACACAATTTCACATCCGCCTGCAGGAATTCGTATGGAATTATATGATTATTCCTTAGAGCATAAGTGTTTTCACGAATTAACTTGTGCTTACCGCTTCATTTTACATCTCACTAATGCTTCTTTGCCTTGTTTAGCGCTGTGCATGTTTAACGGCTTCCCAATTTATAATTTTATTAACTCCCATCTCAGGAAGAGGCATATTGGAGTTCTGAAATTATGTCCTCAGGACTCCCAAGAATTTATGAATAATCTGTTCAATATTCAGCCATGAAAATTTTCCACGCGATGAATCAACGGAAGTTATAGTGATGCTATATTTAAACCGAGTGTAATTGTATTATTTCTGCCTCCATTTTTATTATTTCTGTTGATATTGATTGTGTGTATTTATGTTGATTGTGTGAATGCATTCATATTATTTTTGTTATATTCTGACTTGCAATCATTACTCTCATCGTCGTAATGATCAAAGTAATATACATAGTTTTGTAGATAACTACATTTCGAAAGAAATAATCAATGTGATATGTTTTTATTTAAAAAATTTAGGGAATTTAAATTGGAATTGCTAAAGAAAAAAACGTGTTTAATATAGGAAAATAATACAAGTATAATAATTCTTATTTTCAACTAGCTAAGGCACAGAAACATTCATACACATAACACAATTTTTTTCACACACAAAATGTATTGGTAGCTATAACATGCATCATTAATGTTATTCACTTTTTCTAATGACTATTTCGATGCTAAATTCCGAAATAAAATCATAACATAGTGTTGCAAAATTATATCAGGCTTCGTATTAAGATATATAACATTAGACTTAGAGGCGTAGAAAGCGTGGGCTTTTGTAATAAATAGAATTTTCAAATGATGTCTTGTTTCTAAATAATGAATCGCAAACTTATTTTAGGCTTTTTGAACTATATATTAATAACGAGAATTTGACATCATTAAGATAATTTCGAATTAGGCTTTTTTTTTAATAATTTTATATATATAAATAGCCACCGAAAATATGGTGAATGCTTGCTAGGTGCGCGCGATAAATGTTACATCATTAATACGCTACACGATATTCACACTTGAAGAAGCTATTTGATTATAACTGTTAGCTTGCTACTGTAAGCCAGAAAACAGATGCACCAATTTCGATAGTCTGTATCTAGATATATTCGAAGAACCCTTTATATTCTACACTTCGACCAGATCCCTCGTCAATTGGTTCGTTTTATAAACATACCAGTGTGATCGCTTATGCACTTATTGTAACAATTCCGCTAGTTAGTTACTTTAGTTTGTTGACGTTCAAAAGAGCTTAAGAGCTTAAAAACCAACCGACGTCACATTGAGGTCGCATCATTGTATTTGGAACCTCATTGCAGAGGCATTGAGTAGATTACGGAAGTTTTATCGCGAAGTCTCCATCAGCTAGTCGAGAACCAACCGGCGTCGCATTGAGATCGCATCATTGCATTTCGAACCTTATGACTTTGCGATTGAGTACATTAGCGAAGCTTTGCCGCGACGACCGCTACGCCGTGCGATTTTGAGCCTTGCGCGCTGACAATAAGGCCCCGTGCGCAGTGTCGCGGTCGCCGTCGGCGGGCGGGGTGCGGGGGCGCGCGGCGGGCCGCTCCGCGTGCTCGACGCCCGAGCGGCGCAGCGCGAGCCCGCAGCGCGACGAGTTCGTCGTCCACAGGGGCCGCGCCATCACCACGCTATCGGCGCTCGTGCGACGCGACGAGGAGAGCGGTAGGCTTGTCACTGCTGTAACATGCGACCGAACGGATAGGCCTGTCCGGGGAAGTACCGCGGCCACACAGAAGAGAAGTGTTGTACTATCGCGTTTCTCTCGGTGAGTGCGGTAACCGGGGAACACTTTTTTAATGGTTCACAACGTATCTGCGGGTTGCAGAGTTTTAGATGTTCATGCGCGGTAATCCCTTAACATCCGGGGAACCGCTTTTTTTTTTACGTGGGGAAATGCCTACGCATACCTACCCTCGGGGGCATGAACGGGTTACGTCGAAATCCGACTAAATCCCCAACGATGTGCCACCTAAAATGAAAAATGGGCTCAATGATCCCACTTGGAGCGGACCAAGGTGACCAATCCACTGTTACTAAGTCTCATCGTCACCACAAGATGAGAACCCGGCGGTACTGAGTTCGCGTGAGCCGTCTGCTCGCTTGCCAAGTGTTCTCTTAGAAAACAAAACTTGCACCCCTGCCGTGTGTGGCGCAGCGCTGTCGCAGCTGGGCGGTGCGGTGGGGGCGGTGGGTGCGGTGGGGGCGGGGGTGGCGGCGGGGCGGCCGTCGCAGCGCGGCAGCCGCGAGTCGTTCGCCGGGCGCCGCTCGCGCCGCTCGTCCGTGTCGGACGACAGCCAGCTGACGGTGGAGAACTTCGGCGGCTCGCAGGACCGGCTGCACTTCGCCGGCCGCAACCCCGAGAAGGAGCTCGCCACCGTCGCCGCGATGCCGCCCCAGCGCAAGATCTCCGCGCCCGCCGGTACAACGCGCCCTATCGCTACCGCCGTCGGCCGTACGGTCCATATTGCGGTGGCTCAATTATTTATGGCCGTTTTCAATAATCTATCTATACCGTTCCAGTTGGCGTTAGGTATTTGATATTACCTCAAAATTCTATCTCCACTAATCAAATCTACAGATAGATAGAATATTGAAGGCGGCCATAAACGTACAAACAATATTTGCCGAGACACGCGCATGGGCAGATCCGTCCGGGTAAGTACGACCTCACAGAAGACCATAAAGTAGAAGTGTTCTTCTGCGTTTCGTCTGGTGAGCGAGGTGGCCTGGCCGGGCCTGCATTTCCTAACGGTGTTGCAAATGTCCATGGGCGGCTTGGTTATTAGTTAACATCAGGTGAACCGGCAGCTCGTTTGTCACTTTCTCGCATAAAAAAAAGATATCTTGGGTCGGAAAATGACGTTCCGTCCGAAAGCAACATTGATCTCTAAATCACACTTAACGCGACTATTCCCGTCCCGCAGGCCCTGCGGAGTACAACCCGCCGCTGCGCTCGTCGCGGCAGGACGTCCGCGGCACGTTCCAGCTGTTCCACGAGGAGCGGCAGAACGGCGGCCAGCCCGTCGGGCGGCAGCTGAGCAGCGACGCCATCTCGCTGCACGGCTTCGGCGCCGGAGACGGCTTCCTCCCCGGCCGCGACTCCACGGACGGCGACGCCTCCAGCGCCGGCTTCGCGGACCTCGACAGGGTCCGGACCAACGGCGACCAGCAAGGTCGGTTCCGGCCGCGAGGACAACAATCTCACTTGGTTGCAATGACATTTTTTAACGATACCTGTATTATAAAGTTTTAGTTTGACTTGGCTACGAGGACCAAAAATATCGCTTGTGTTCAATGGCATTTTTACCCACATTTTAGTAATTCATCATTGCAACGCGGGCACACGTTATAGTCAAATAATAAAAAAAAATAACGAAACAAAAGGAACTGTGAGATTGCGGTACATGGAGTGTTAAATAATTTTTGGGTGTATTTTCACTAGTCGAATATGTCATGCAGGGAATCGCCGCAAGCGTCATAACATGATTTATTTTCATTCATGACGTAATTTTCTCCAATAGCAAGCCTTGTGGCGTGCGATTTGAGAAATTCCCTCCATTTTCTGCGCTACTTGGTTCCTAAACAGACACTGAAAATACGCTCGTAATAAAATGTTTAGTGATCGGCAAACATCTTGAAACATTGCGCAGTAGTCGATCTTAATATTTCTACGGAGCATCGGAGGTTGGCGGCAGGGTCACCACAGTCCTTTTAATTTTGTCCTATTGAGTTTGAAGGTATCTATTTACGATATACAGAATATGGCCTTTAATACAACTATCAATTTCAGAGTGGAGGTCCGCATGCGCTCGTTATGATTTTACGTAGGTAATTAACATTATCGTGCTAAAACAGTAATCGTTCCAAAATTTTGTTACTTGATGTCGTGTCGTTTACAACAGTGAGTCTTAGTATAGAGGTATAGCGTTTTAATTAACTTGACCCAAGTCATTTGCGTATTCACTGTAACTAACAGGCGTATCATCCCTCGCTTAGATACCTTATCGTGTTCGGCTTTGCAATGGCTTGCGACTAGTACGGACCACATATTCCCATTGGGCAAATGCAAATGAAATACGCGGCGGTTGTCGCATGATCATAAAACCACACTGAGTGTTGTTCACCACCAGGTGTGGGGGGAGGCGCGGGCGAGCCGGCCGAGCGGCGGAAGACCACCACCTTCTCCACGCCCACCACCACCACCACGTGGCAGCAGCAGGTCATGCAGCACGAGCACCAGCCCAGTCAGTCATCACCACTCACTATGACCATTGTTACCCACTAACTAAGCGGGTTGATTGTACTCGGTCGTTTTTAAAAAGGCCTTTCTGGGTTATGGTTTCCTTTCTCTCAAATCGGAAATACAACAGTACCGGTCGTATAAAACCGCTTACAACATGACTCACAGGTTCTGTCGGCCCCACTTAGGTGGACAAGTGGCAGGAGGATGATGATTATGATGAAAATTATGCCGCGATAGCTGAGAACGCCGGAGCCCGATCCCCGGTGCAATTTAATTCAATTAAGGGCTGACTTATCACGCGCTCGGCGATTTGCGTACGTAACGCGTGCCGCATAAGGTCGACTGTCCAACGTCTCCAGACGGCGACGAGGCGGGCGAGGAGGAGACGTCGCCGGGCGGCGGGCAGGCGATGGCCGCGCAGCTGAACAACATCCGGCTCAAGCTGGAGGAGAAGAGGAGGCGCATCGAGCTCGAGAAGCGGCGCATGGAGGTGGCCGTCAGCAGGCAGCGGCAGCAGCTCGGCCAGCAGGCGTTCCTGCAGGCCGTGGCCAGGGTCAGTGGAGGGATTTATCCTTTTTTCTTTTTTTCAAGTGAGAAAAATCCTTTACGGATGCGGGGGGGGGGGGGGGGGGAGGGTCGAGGGTTTATCATAGCGTCGGAGAACGCATTGGGGACTGGGTGGTGCGGAGATGACTCTTGCTCTGCACTTGCCGATTACACACTTGAACGATTTTGTGTACTTGTATCATTGAAAAGAGACGACAAGTTTCCCGTCGGTTCTTCTCTGGTCGGGTATAGTTTAGTCGACCGGGTGGCAGGTCAACTAGGAAAGTTAGTTTGACAGCGGCTTGCTGCTGAGTAGTATCAATAATTGAGACTTATGTGTCCATGTGGGATTAGGACTTGCTGAGCAGTATCAATATGTGTCCATGTGGGATTAAAGAAATGAGAGCTGATCGTTTGCCGATAGTCGACTATGACCCTTACTAGCAGGCTTTATTGCCGCTCACTAAATCGACCGAAGATGAATCAGAGTTTTGTTATTAGTGAATTTCCCAGTTGCAGAAATCATAAAACTTGTCCTTAGTTTAATTAATCTTGATGTTTCATCAAAAGCCGCTCTGAAAGTGGAAAAGTAAAATATTGATTAATATTTTGACCATTATTAATCAACATTTTAATATTGATCTAAGACTTTGTCGGTAAATGTCGAATTATACCAAATTGTAATAAATAATTTTTAAAATATCTCATTCTCCGATAAACAAAACAATACGATCTTATCTATTATTGGGGCAGTAATTCAATATAACTTTATTTTTTATATATCTATTTAGAAAACTAAAAGAACTGAAGTAACGTTGTGTGAAATCTGATTACATAGCTTGTGTGTGTTGTAGTTAGTGTTTGTATTAAGTTTTTATGTTTATTACCAAAGAAAAGTGGTGTCGGTAGAATGGGGTTTACAAGTTGTAGGCAAATTAAAATTCCTAACGAGAAGTAATCGACGTGTCTGTTTGTAGAAAATTCCTATCGAAAAAATCGACGTGTCTGTCTGTAGCTCTGTCATGTTCAGTGTGAATGGTAGGGCATAAATTGTTTATCTGTTTGTGTGGGGAGTTGTTTAGTGTTGATATGACCCTATTTAATTAATTTCTTATACGATTCCCGTTAGCGAAAACTGCATTCTTGATTTGTAGTCAATAGTTATTACTGTTACTCTATGCACTTACCTAACATCTGAACACACGAAATTAAAAAATAAACCCACTTTTATAAAACCTTAGCAGGACTAGACGTAATCAATACGACATTTACAAATTATTTTATTTCGAATTTCAGTTTTATAAAAGTGGGAGCATATTATACTATTTTGTTACTAATCGTGTCCCATTCTAACCCTATGTTTGCGGCAAACGTAAAGTATGTTTTTCTATTCAATAGGATACGTTTTTGCAATACCAGTTGGCCTCTTTGGTGAGTGGCCGGTTTAAATTTATCGCCGTTTATTATATTTAGCCGTAGCCCTTTACTGAATTTATCGTTTTAGTTTGTTTTCGTATACAGTTCAAATAATGAATCGTTTCGAGTTATCGCTTACACAGCTTTCATTGGAGCCGTGGTATCAAAAACCACATAAAAACAGACAGAACTTTACAACGCAGTTTTAAGAGTATTTCTTTTGAAGTCATCATATCGGAGCTGCAATTTCTCATTCATTTATCGTACTGCAGGCGTCGTGCAAACATTGCCGCTTAAAATTGTGTAGACAATAGACGAACCAGCCTAATTTTGCAATGTACATTGTGATAGCTTTACCATTTTTAAAAGCGTTTCCCATCGGCAATAGATCACAAGTATCTAAACTAAAAACATTACATTTTTAGTGATTCACAAAGATTGTGACAAAGCGACTTTTTATCATTGTGAAGCCTTAATTTCTTAATATTTTACTTACGCTTTCTTTTATCCCCATATTCTATAATTTTGCATGATTTAATAATTTTTTGATTAAAAGATTTAATTAATTATTTTTTCTATCAACAATCGGGCTGTTAATGAAATTTCCAAAGTTGCTATGATACATTTTAGTTTTTTTTTTACCTCCTCACCTAGTTTAAGAATTGGCCATTTATCCATTCTCTTAAAATCTCCAAATACACCTTTTAAATTTCCAATAACAAATCCCTTGTTGTGTTTGTTTTATGTAAGATACGTTCCTTCCCATGTTAAAAACGTGTGATACACTCGTAGAGACATTGCATACCGTAAACGCCTCACTCGCGACATTTAGTAGAACACAGCGGCACATCTCCACGATTCTAGAGCGATTATCAAAAGTCTTAAAGTCTCTCTGCAAAGCATTAAAATATCACAAATAAATTGAAGCTATTTGATAATCGCCCAAGAAAAGTCACCACACACTTTCTGAGACGTCTTACACTAAGGCATGCGTTGCGCGCGCGACGTACGGGATGCACGGCAAATCGCCGAACTGTCTGTACGCATAGTACGCGCGTGTGCGTAAGCGTCCGTATGCGTGTGCGAGAGCGTCCATATGCGTGCGCGCACGTGTGCGTACATGCGTACACGCACGTGTAGGTTCGTGCACACGTGTGCGTCGCGTGCGCAGTCTGTTTGTTACGGTGGCGGTGCACGTGCGTGTTTCAGGGCAAGGGGGCGCGCACGCCCGGAGACGACGACGCCAAAGACGACCGGCAAATACAGGTAACGTACGCCGCTAGGGTGTTATGAGGCTTTTCATTCATTTCGTTACCTCGCGTCGTTTACTTATGCCCGGTTCCCATATTCAACGAACGGCCGCTAGTTACATAGCTTCGTAACGTTCGTAACGACTTGTATATTAAAAGAACGCTAGTAACTCACTTTCCGTAGGTAACGCAACGGCTCGTGAGGAAAACGCCTCGTTTTGTTAATATTGGAACCGGACATACGGCGTGTATGTCCGGTTCAATTAGGTAAGGTTTTATCTACAAGTTGTTATGAAAGTTACGAAGCTATGTATCTAACGCCCGTTCGTTGAATATAGGAATCGGGCCTGAACCGACTTTCAATCCAACGCCGACTCACTTCATCGCGGTACGGAGATAGTATACCGCTAGTATAAAAAAAAGAAAGTTTTTTATCATGCCCATCGTTCAGTCCGTCAAAACCATATAGACATATTTTTGTTTGTTATAATTTTTTTGTCTAAAAAAAAACCCTTGTTTCTTAATTTGTTTGTGCATGAATTTTGTGATTAAAATGCATGCTTTATATTTTGGTGTATATAGTATAATATAATTTTTACAATTTTATTTTTCGTAAAAAGGTTCCCCAATGAGTTTTTCCTTTCCAAAAACCAATACGCCATCAAGTGGTTGATTTAAAGTTTATTTTAATTTTAATCGGTTAAAGGGTCGGAAACTAGTTAGAATTGATTAGCTTGGGAAAGCTCCTAGTCAATTCCATCCACACCACAAAATGAGACGTAAAATCTGATCAGTGTCGCATCCTCACAGGAGATGGTGGTCGAAGCGCCAAGTCAAACCGCTGAAAACGTTGTCCTAGAGCAGTACCAGCAGTCTATAGCCAAGTAAGACTTCGTTTCAAATTTTATTGGATAGCTTATCTATAATTTCAATACTTTATAAGACAAAACATGTTCCACTTAGTTAAGATAGCGGTAAATACAACCAGGTCTGACATACAATTTCTTTTTCTGCCATAAAGGCCCATTTACACGATGCCATTTTCTTGAACATACAAGAGCGATAATTGAATGCAAATAAATTGCGCGCAATAATTGTTTAGACCATTTGTTGTTTAGACCATGCAACTCATTTATTGCTTCAATTTAATTGTATACAACAGGCAAGAAACTTGCACCGTGTAAATGGGCCTTTACTTATGTACACGATAACACCCGCGGAAGCACCTAAGTTATGAACAGAACCTACGATCTCCTTCATAATTCCATAGATTATTTTATTAATATTTCAAATGGTAGTCACGAGACTGTTCAATCCATAAATTGTTATTATCCACCCGTTGTCTACCCGTCCAGTTTGTTACAGAGTGAGTGCTATTGTAATATGATTAATATTACATCTCTGACAGGCTTAAAACATGTACCATAGACCATTTTTTTTTTCTTCCTAAATATGTATGTATAATTTTGTAATTGAACTAAAAGTTTGTAGTCTGACATAAAATTTCTAAGTTTACCATAAAATCCTTAAGTATGTACACAACCTTGGCCACAGCTGGTATCTAACGATTGCAGAATGAACTCTAGCCTGCAGGACATACAGAGCGACATCGCGCGGCTCGCCAGCCAACAGACCCAGCTGCAGCAGCAGCAGCAGCAGCAACACCAGCAGCAGCAGCAACAACAGCTGCAACAGCAACAGCAACAGTTGCAGCAGCAGCAGCAACAGCAACTGCAACAACAACAGGAACAGCTGCAACAACAGCTGCAGCTGCATCAGCAACAAGCGAAGCAGCTGTTCCAGCAGGCGCAACAGCCACCGCAGTCGCTGTTCCAACAGCAGTTTCAACAAAACATTCCACAATTGGTGAGTTTATAATGTTTAAGAGGTTCCCCACTCCCACTATGATTTAAATATGGTCTCGTGGTTGATAGTAACATGTGTATTGAATGCACCTTGCATTCAATACACATCTTACTATCAATCTTAAACTAAATTTATGTACTTAATAACATGTACAGTTGGTTATAATAATGTTCGCAAAATAATTGAAGTTTATTTTGAATTATTGTATTCTTATGCAGATATAAAGAGACTTGCTTGCTTCATCTTCCACATAAGCAACACGCAAGAGCACTAACAAGAGCACATCACGCTACACGAGCGTTTCAGAGATACTGATATAAACTAATTTATACTAAGAAATTTTTTAATATTAATAATGAACTTCAGCCCGAAAATCGCGTGTCCATTCGTGCCGATGCCACCCCCCCCCCCCTCCACCGCACAGTAAACCCCCCCCCCCCCCCCGCGCCTTGCAGCACAGCCAATTCAGCTCGGCGCACAACGTGTCCCGCGCCTCCCCCAACGCGGCGTTCGGCTCCACGCCGCACATACCGCGCGAGCTGTTCGCCTACGAGCAGCAGATGCAGCAGCTGCAGCAGATCCAGCAGCAGCAGCACTGCCAGTACCGCGACATCGAGGAGCCCGGCGGGCGGTTCTTCCTACACGAGAGCCCACCGCAGCAGCCGCCGCAGCGCAGGACCTGGGCGCAGCACGCGCAGCTGCAGCAGGAGAACGCGGAGCTGCGCGGCTGGCAGGTCTGCGCAAGGGATCGGTCGCCTCGCGATCTTTTTTTTTCCTATGCGAGACGGTGACGATAGGGATGTCGAAAGTGAAGAAATATATCGATATACCGATATTTATAAAAATATCACTATCGGCCCCGATATATCGATAAATCAAGATATAACTAAAGAGATAATCAAAAAAAGTATGTCACATAATTAAATATTTGACACCTACGGCCTCTGTTTATTCTGAATATTGAATACTTTGTATCGATATATCGAATCCAAATATGTCGACTACAAATATCGATATACAAAGCAAAAATATCGATATATCGATATTTTTTCGACACCCCTAAGTGGCAAGCGAGCCGGTGGTTTGCCGGTGGACATTTGCAACACCCGTAGGGTTGCAGATGCATTGCCACCTTTAAATAAATCGGGCCTCGGCTAACACACACTCACCGGACGAAACGCGGAAGTGTAACACTTCCAATTCACTCCGATCTTCTGTAAGTTCGTGTTAATTCACCGGATCTGTGTTTGGTTTTATTTACGCTACGAAAGACGAAAATCTAATTTTGGACTGTTACGGACTTCATTCATAGTACATATCATAATAAAAGTGTACTCTATGCCTAGGAAATAAAATGAGAATAATAAACAGAGTAAAAAAGAAATAAAATCCAATGGTATTAGAATGTCCAGTTGCTGAATTTAACATGAACACTTTTGTAAACTAAGTTCTTTATATGACGCCTTGATAGGTCTTACATTTCAAAGTTGAATTCGCAAATGATTAATAAAACTTTGTACAAAAAGCGAACCTGTATAAGGAATCGGTTTTCCGAAATGTTAGTTTTTATGTAATCGTGTTTGATATTTAACCTTTCAGATAATTTTACCAATAATGTTCAGCCCTTTCGCTGTAAACTCACAGTTTGGTAAATGCTAACATTTTTGCACAAGATGAGCCATCACCTTTTCTGCTTTAATATCAATGCATTAAAAAGGAAATATTTAAGGCAAATGTATTTTCCGCACCAAACTGTTTACATGCACGTGTGGTGTTGGTTTTATATTCGAAACACATTAACGTCATCGCTAATAAAACGAAATATTTTACGGTCCTTGTTTTTCCTTTTCCAGCTGCACCAACAGAACCACCAGCAGTTCCAACAGCCCCTCGAGATCCCGCAGCGGACATGGAAATCGCCCTCGCCGCAGCCGCCGCCCGAGCGGACCTGGAACCCGCAGGGCTTCGTGCTGCACGACAGGACGAACCAGCCGTTCCAGGTGCACTACAACCACGAGCGGCATCAGCAGAACGGCACCGAGAACATTCGAGAGGCGCAGAACCACTTGAGCTACACTGTGATAAACCCCGGCCAGTACGCGTCGCAGTCGCCCCCCCTGGCGGCCAGCCCGCGCCGCTCGCGCACGCCGCAGCGGCAGGGCTCGCTGCCCGAGGCGGCGCGCAAGCCGGAGCCGGTCAGCCTGCAACAGCTGCAGCAGCTGCAGCCGCTGCCGGCGCCGGGGCCCGTGCCGCCGCCCGAGGACATGGAGCCGCAGAACATCTCGTTCATCGGCAGCGCCGAGGACGACGCGCTGCGGCAGGGCATTAGCAGGCTGAACATCTCGTCGGGCACGCGCACGTACCGCATCCCGTCGCCCACGCGGCCCTCGCTCGGCCGCACCTCGTTCCGGCACCCCGAGCGCGAGGAGGCGGACGAGCGCGCCGAGAAGGGCTTCTACATATCGTTCGACAACGAGCAGCCGAAGCGGCCGAAGCCGCCGCTGCGGGCGAAGCGCGGCTCGCCCCGCAAGGAGCGCTCGGCCTCCGAGCAGCACAGCCCCGAGCGGAGCCCCGAGCGCTCGTGGCCCGAGCTGCAGCCCGCGGCTGCCGCCCCTAGTGACGCTTCCCCGCCGCGAAGGGAAACGCCGCCTAGGGAGCGGCCCAACGCCGAGCCCGCCGCCCTACTCATCGGCGAGCTCAACCCCGACCCGGTGAGTGTTCGACGCGTCGACTTAACATCGACAACTTAACATGGTTGGATGGCGACTGAGTGAGTGAGAGTGTGGTCGCGCGTTGCAGAACTCGGCCGAGGAGATGGAGCGCAAGAAGGAGCGCATCATGCTGCTGTCGCTGCAGCGGCGGCAGCGCGCGGACGAGGCGCGGGCGCGGGCGGACGCGGCGGCCGCGGCGCGGAGGGCGCGCGAGGAGGCCGCGCAGGAGCAGAAGCTCGCGCGCAAGGAGGAGCAGGCGCGCCGCCGCGAGGCCATCCTGCAGCAGTACAAGCTCAAGAAGGCCATCGAGGAGGCCGAGAGGGAGGTGGGCGCCGAACCTGCATGTTGTGAACCCCTGCCCAGCGTTCTTTTAGCGGAGGCAGGGGTTCGCAACTTTTTGAATTGAGACTTAAAAATTGTCGATCATAATGTCGTCGCGTGTGGAGGTCATCGCGGAAGCTACATGTTGCGAACCCCTGCCACGCGTTATGTTCTCAACAGCGGCAGGGGTTGTCAACTTTTTGTATTGAAACCTGAAAGAAAAATTATGTCAATCATAATGTCGTCGCGTAGTCTGTTACGTTCTTCATAGTGGACGTGGATGTTGACTATTATTGGCCGACTGCAAGGACTTCTGGAACTTCACAGAAACAAACATTGAAACCATGTTCAAACGATTGCAGGGCAAAGTGCTCGACAAGAGCGAGTTCTTGGAGACGTTGAAAGGGGGCGGGCACACGCCGTCTGGCGGCGGGGGCGGAGGGGGCGCGACGCGATTGCGAGGCAAGGCGGCCCGCGCGCGGCCCAAGACCATCCACGTGGACTCGGGCGCCCTGCACGCCGCGGAAGGCATGCTGGCCAAGCAGCCCTCCGCCACCAACCTCTCCGGTAGGTGGCAACCGTGCGCGCTCATAGTGCTCTACACCTCTCCGGTAGGTGGGAACCCCGCTCGAAATATACTCTACAGTTCGGCCACGCGCTACCCTAGTTTTGTGTGCAATCAAACATTGTTCCCAACACTGGAAATGGAGCGGCTGCGTGACTGTCACTGCTAAACTGTCTCGTTTTAAAATAGATTTTATTGTCACATTACTAAAACCTCTTTCGGCTTAGCTGTTTCTTTTTTTTTTTTTCACAGCCAATCTTAATAAATTACAAAAGTACTAAAAATAGTAAACTAATGAAATATGCGACTTGTATTTTTTTTAACCTATTAACATTTTTTTATACAATCATTCTATAAAATTTTTTGTATGTATATATATATATATATATATGTGTATTTATGTATTTATATATATTTTATTTTAGTAATGATATCATATTTATAATTGTTGCATATACGTGTATTATAATTGATGTATGTACACAATTAACTACCATCTGTAACCAATTTCCAGTCACTGGAAGAAATTTCTTATGAAATAAGCAGGGCCTTTGTACATCTCTGCCATAACTCTGTGTACATAAATTACAAAATAAAATATTATTTATATTAAGTTTATTTCCCAAAAAAAAGTTAAATAGTATTTATTAATGTGGCAATTGCAAATTCTTAGCGACGCGTAGGTTATAAAATCAGCTTTTAAATGTATTCTCAACTATATTTTCTTTTTCTGTGTCTAAATTGGCTTTCCGTGTCTCATAATAAGAATGGCTGGCAATAAAAATAAACTTGCACTGAAGACGCACTTTATGTGCTTTTATACATTAGATTCCAAAATATGAATGGCGTTCAGTGTATCTATCCTTTTTAATTTATCATTTTTTCACCCCTACTTTTGCTGGCTACAAGAAGTGAACATGTTGCAAATTAACGTTGTAAATGTTTTAATGTTAACTGTCGTCATATAATTTTTTTAGCCATTTTGTGATAAAAAGTGACGTATTGACTTCTTGGAAAAAAATATTTGCGCTAAAAATTTTCTAACGATACATTTTATAACTTCCAAAAGTATATGCCCGAGTGTTGTCTCCCTCCCCCCCACTCCCCGTTTGCGTGTGTGCGTGCGTGTCTGTAAGCGTGCGTGTGTGCAGCGGGCGGCACGATGCGGCGCGACTACTACCGCGGCTCGCAGGACAGCCTCGCCGAGCGCGCCGGCCTCTACAGAGGTGAGTGGCCCGTCCCTCGCAAGTGAACCACTTTCGACGCTAACGCCTACACAATAGAGCTCATTATTGTTTAATTCCATCTGCTATGTAAACGAATAAGCTGGACTTGGCTATAATGGAAAATAGTGGTACCATTTTTCAAGGTATACGTTTGTTATAGGTTAATTTTCCAAGTTGAATTATAAGATTGATATTCAATTGCGAGGGATTCAGTTCGTAACAGCTTTAATTGTATTTGCACGACATATTTTGGCCATATAAGATGTTTGCATTGCATGAACTGTTTAGATACACAATTTTATATTTCTAGAAAAACGTGTGACAAGGTAACCGACATAGCTCAGAAGATTAGATACTTTTTCATCGTTTAGTATCGGACCTGGTACCCAGCAGATCTACTACGTCTTAAGAACGTCTAGGGCGGCGGCTTACCACAAGGTGTTAAGTGTGGATTGTTTGCTCGTTGGCTATTTTTTTATGTGTCAAGTTATGTGTAAAACGATCAGGCGGTTCACCTTTTGTTAAGTGTTAAGTTACCGCCGCCTATGACATCTACAACACCTGACGTGTTGAAGATGTGTTGCCAATCATTAAAATATGGGCTCCAGCTATCTAAGTATGGACGAAACGCGAAAATATAATACTTGCACTTCATGACGTGGTAAGAACCACGGCCTCTCGAAAGCCTGGCCCTTATCGTACAACAGCCGAAATTGCTGCGTGGCCTTAAAACGGTATCTCTCTCCTAGTCTTCTCCCATAGAGACCGTTATTTCCGGACCGATACGATTTAGGAACCGTCAAGAAGAGAGCCTGTTACTCGCTCAAAGGCCAGCAGCGAGTGTCCATGGGCGGCGGTGACCACATAGGTGACCCGCGCGCCCGTTTGCCACCTTTCCCATTTGTTTTTAGTTTGCCACCAAAAAGAAAAAAAAAAAAAAAGCATAAAAAACTTGTGACCGTGCTCTCTCCGTGTGAGAAAACGTCGGATTCGAACCCCAGCGGTGGGAGGTTATTCACGTTGACACCATTGTGCCTTCGCAGAGTCGCCGGTGGAGGACCGAGGCGGCGTGTCGCCCGGCAGCGCGTCGAGCGGCGCACTCGGCCGGCGGGGCTCGTGCAAGACCTCGCGAGGTCAGTGACCCCCATGCCTGACCACACCCTCTCCCCCCCCCCCCCCCTACCCGCAGCCCCGCGTTGCCCGCTACGTCACCGTACCTACGGCTCTGAACTTGCGACAGCGCCATCTAGTTTGCCAAAGTTAGTGCTGCTCTTAACAGCAACCACCGGTATGATGAATTGTAAAATTAACTTTTTTTTTAAATTAAATTTCTTACAAAAACTCGCATAGAGCTTCTTCTTCTTCTTCTTAAAGATCTTCGCGAATGTTCGGAACATCATTTTTGTGTTTTTCCTTTGGTAAGTTTTAGGTTAAAAAAAATGGTAGATCTTGCAATTATCTATAAAAATTGTCGTTACACTTTTTCTCGTAAGAGAAAAATTAAGAAATATTTTAAACAAAATTACCATATTTTTTTTCATACAAACTTGAAGGAATTCGTTCCTATTTACTCATATGTAAATTATAAAAATTTGTATCTCATTTCTTTTGAACGGAATTCAATAAATCCATAAAACAGAGCCGTAATGTATTGGTGTCGTCTACAAGCAAGAACTAACACTGTGTGCGCTTCGCTAGTTACCCACTTTCCGCTCAACTTAAATATAGCAGTTTAACAATTTCTTATTCTATTATTATTTAATGCAGTAATTGTTATTATTTGGATGCGCTTTATGAGTATTTTTTATAACAATGAATTAATCCTTGGCTGTAAAATCTATCGAAATTGTAAGACAGATTAATTGCTATATTGGGTTGAGCAGATTAATTGTCAACTGGAGTCATGTTTTGATCGTTTATTTAATAACGAGTGTGTGCGTGTGCGTGTGTGAGTGTGTGTTTTTATAATTAAAGTTTGATAATAACTTCAACAATGGCGTTCAAAACAAGTACACCAGTTTTTTCTCTCTCTTGTGTGTTGCGAATTGGATATTTTAAACTCGAAATTTCGAGCGATGGTTTTTTAACAACCATAAGCCTCGAGCTTAAGACGAATACTTGCTATACAAAAATATTTGTATGTTTATGCTTATTTATACCCAATTTGGTTAAATTAAAAGACGATGTCTAGTTTAAAATATTCAACTTATTAAAATATTACGAAACTGTATCTGTGGTGAAGTTTTTTTGTCGAGTCGTACAAAAAGCTTAACCACAACCAAAACAAATAGAGTAAATGCTATTATTTCACGTGTTATTTGAATTATATAACATCGTCATTATGCGGATGGTCATATGGCTCGATATCCGATAATCGATATAAGACGCTTCTTTGATTTTATTTGTAGACGCTTCGAGATTATTATTTATTTCTCTTTCGATTGGTTTATTTTATATGTGTATGATTTCGGCAACGCATAGTTTATAGACACACTCCAAACGCAGAATATACGCTTTGTATTACCTATCTTTTGGGCCGTATAATATTTATTTGTAGTTTGCTAAGTGGAACTAAAATCGAGCGAGCGGTTGTTTGTTTCTAAAGCTTTGTCCAGAATGATTTCGAAACTCTCCCCGACCCTAGACCTTCCGCGCATCAGTTGTCTCCCGCATCCACTGTTGTGATTTGGTTCACCAGAGAAGCCTTGCCTTGAGGGATATTACCGCATAATAGAATTTGCCGCGCCATAGCGTTAATTTTGTTTGCGACAATCAGTGCATCTTGAGAATGTGGATTGACACGTGCCGTAAACTGCGTGGGTGTTAAAGTGACAGCATGTTGTCGCCCACCCGTACGCAGTGCGACATGCACAATGCGACATGCGACGTGTAACATGTAACATGTATCGTGTAACGGACGCATCGCATGCGAGCGCGTGCTGACATTTATAGGAAACATTTCAGAGCGTGTGAATGACGAGGCACAGTCGTCGCGTGGAAGGTCTAAATATTCCACTTACCAGAGTAACTTTAAGGCCGGGAGGAAATCTAGCTCTCTTATGAACTTGTGCGGTAAGACACGTTTGAAATCAACACCGATGTACATTGTACAGGCTTCACTCACGCCGCCACTGTCGGCTACCATTTTGGCTTGGTGCGTTGGGTTCTAGTTTCGTTGCGCGGCTCAAAACGGGGGACCTTCCCACTTTTATCTCGACATTTTTTCATTCCTTAAATTATTATTTTTTTTCTAATATTTTTCACCTGCCTGTTTCAAGTTGTAATCAGGATCGTGAAAAATATTTTTATTGTATAAGTTAACTTACTCACGTAAAAGTAGAAGATTTTTTTTGGTAATTTTTGTTTTAACATACACACTTTAAGGAGAATGTCCCCCGCCGAGCCTATTATTTATGTCTTGTGCACATCTTACTTTATTTGGTTTACAGGCCATTTTGTTTATGTAACTATTAAAGGTTGTGGTATAATTATTTAAGGTTATTTTTTATTGGTATATGCATGTTTGGTATCTCTATATGTGGTGTTGGTGTGGCATCGTTAGACGAACAGTGATAATTTTCTATTATTAAAATATCGTATCGCGTCAGTATAATACACGAATTAATGTTGCACGTAGTCACAATCAAATATCCTTTATATATGTTATATGAGATTAATTTATAGAGAATAATTCGTTATATACTCCTTCTGTATGTAATACGAAATTCCGATGTTTTATAAGCGAGTTTATATTGTAGTCTCGGCAGCCTACATTTATAGTATTACTGTATTCTAAGTGTTTATTCACAGTATTCGAAGAATGGTAAAGTATCACATATCTGTACAGCTTAGTTTAGGTTAATACGTGTAAAGGATATTTATTTCCACCCACGTAACACGCCGTTCTGTGTATTGAATTTCGGTAGTTTGTTGTATTTGTATAGATTTCATTTGCTTACGATAATTTGGCGGCTTGTTAAGTTTCGTTGGCCATTTTATATTTATTTTGCGTTAGACGCCTCCGCAATGAGCGCTTCGCCCTTTAGTCACGAACTTGATCTAATGGATATTAGAATTTATATCAGTTTTTTCGAATACTTTTTAAAGTACACCGAGTATTCAAAATTATTAGTTGACTGAATTAAATGCATTCATTTTCAGATTTCGCTTTTACAATTAAAATTCGTCCACCAACTGCTTCCCTGTACTTTACCCTACATCAAAACTTATGACCATAAAGTTATTTTGCAAATTTAAAGTAAAATTGTAAATAGAAAGCTATTATTATTTAATAGGTAATTCAACATGTTAAATAATTTAAAGTCATGAATTGTTGGTGGGTAAAAGGTAACTATTTTATTTTAAAATATAAGATAGGGTAAAGGATTCCTTTCTGTATTCGGCACAAAGATTTATGTATTTAACTATTTACATGTCGATATTGTAACGAGTAAGAAATATGTGTAACAACTTTCTTCTACTAATTTTAATCTTATGCTAGTCTATACAAAATCTTTCCTAGTGATAATATTTAGCATTACAACACTAACCGGGGGATGTATTAAGTATTAACATATGTAAAATAAGAATTGTTACATAAATAATATGTTTATTTCTACCATTGTTTTGAAAATTGTTTTTGTTAAAAAGGAAATTTGTTTCTTTATATTTCACATTACAATTGAAAAATCACTTATTGCAAAAAAAAAAAAAACTTACAAAACAAATAAAAAATCATCCGATTTGTGGGGATAGATTATAACCGAACAGTTATCCAAAACGAAGAAACAATATATTGGAGGGAATAGAATAGCGTATAAAAACGGCTGTAGACGGGTGTATTATGGGGTATGCCCCATAGATGCTCGGGATGGGGGGGGGGGGGGGGGGGGGGGGGGGGGGCAAGGCTATTGAGATCACATTGGGAAGTTGCAAGAAGAGCGTATACAAACGAGTATACATGCATATCGGCGCTCGGCACCAGTGGCTGGGGGGTATCTAGGTCACGCGGGGAAATTGCAATAGTGTACATAAACGGGTGTACTCGAAGGTATGGCATATAAACCTGTTTAGTCGCGGGTATGCATCGTCAGGGGACCGGGGTAGGGTTGGGGTATATAAACGGGTATTCATCGGCGTCAGGTGTTCGGGGTGGGGTGTAGGGGGGGGGGGGGGGGGGGTGTACAAACGGGTACGCATACGGTAGGGTGAGGGTAGTGTTTGGAGGCGCACCTCGGGCGAGGGCGTGAGGAGCGTGAGGAGCAGGCGCTAACGTGGCCGCGTCCCCAGACTCGGGGCTGGGGCGGGCCACGCCGCCGCGGCGCGCCGCGTCGCCGGGGCTGCGCGGGCTGGCGCGCGGCGCCGCCTCGCCCGCCTCGGGGCCCGGCTCGCTGCCCTCCGCGCCCACCGCCATCGGCCGGCGCCGCCAGCCCAACGACGACGGCTCCGACGTCTCCTCCACGCACTCCTCCATCATGGACTACTCGGGTGAGTACCGGAGACCGGAGACCGGAGACCGCTCCGCGAGTTGCTCTGCCCAAGCCCGGAAACTTCTTCCTTGGTAAGCGTGTCAACGGTTTCAAATATTTTGCAATAGCCAATGGAAAGGGCCTGTTATCACTACACAGTATGAAACTGAGTCGTCCCGCTGTCTGTCTGCCCCTATGTATGCCAAGATCTTTGTAACTACGCAACGGATCTTGATGCGGTTTTTTTACTAGATAGAGTGTTTCAAGAGGAAAGTTTATATGTATAGTACATTGCACCCGTGCGAATTAGGAGCGTGTCGCTAGTAAAAATATAATGTCGGAGAATATATTGAGGACAGGGATGGAAAATTAGTTAGGCCCGATTTTATATCAGGCTGCTACTGATTTAATAACAATACAATTTTTTTTGTATACTTGTATCATTGAAAAAGATAACAAGACCGGTTCCACTCTGAACAGGTCTAGAGTAGTGAACCGTTTGTAGTTTTTGCGACGTTCAATAATAATAATAATAATAATAATAACTTAAAATAAGCTTGCAGTAAGTACCCTGTGCACGATGACGTCTACAGTTTTCTAATGTGCAGAGATGCTGGCCTTTATTTGGTTGTTATTAAAATCAAGATTAAAGTCAACGACGCTGTTAAATACACTTCTTGTTTTTTTTTTTTCTCTACTGAATAAGTATCATATTGACAAATAATGTAAAAGAGGAAGGTTTTATTAATTAAAACATTTAAAAGTGTATTGATATTTTGGTGCTCTGTAACATGATTTCATATTTTAATACATTTTATGATTGCAATAGGCTAATAATATATAGGTGCACATTTATTATCTGTATTTTCCGTCGACTTGTTTTGTAGTTTGTTGGATAAGCGATTCTCATTAGCTGTGCATTCTGTTCTAGAAGCATCCTATCGGGAACGGCGTAAAGGTTCTTAGATTCTATTCTAGTCTTACGTAGGTAACACACGACCCACAACTACCCAACGATGTCATGCCAACACACGGATTATGTTCGATGTAATTTTAAGGCATGGTTTTGTGATATGTCATTGTTATAACATTGCGTTTGCATTCGACATCCGCTTCCTCACCGAGATTTGTTGTTTTATTTTTGTGTTTAATGTTAACATGGCATCTAGGCACGTCAATAACAACATACCATCATCACGAATCCCTCTAATCCATCAAATATTTAGTTTTACGTAGATTAAATTCAATATTTTTCAATCAGTGCAAAGATATATATTATTTTACTACACCTCTTTTTGTATTAGCAATTCAAAACGTAACGATAATGTATTTATCACGATTTAGCGTTTAGCGTAATTAACTTGCTTCCAACCTAGAACTTGGACACTTTGCAAATTCTATTCTCCCCACGAATTTCACATTCGACGCATTGCCTACCGTGTGCCGTGCACCGAACGCCGCCGCCGAATGTTGCTCGGCCGACGCGGTGGCCAGGCCGAACGGCAGGCCAGGCCCCAAGAGCTTTCCGCGCCCCCAGGCCCGAAGCTGTACAAGCAGCCGGCCACCAAGTCGAACCGGGGCATAATGCTGAACGCGGTCGAGTACTGCGTGTTCCCGGGGGCGGTGAACGCGGAGGCGAAGAGGCGGGTGCTGGAGGAGATTGCTCGCTCCGAGAGCAAGCACTTCCTGGTGCTGTTCCGGGACGCCGGCTGCCAGTTCCGCGCGCTCTACTCGTACTGCCCCGACAGCGAGGACGTGGCCAAGCTCTACGGCACCGGCCCCAAGCACGTCAACGACCGCATGTTCGACAAGTTCTTCAAGTGGGTACCCCAGGGCTCCGCCTGGCTCCCAATATGTTGTTGCACTTAAATTAGGTGACTGTGTAAACGGAGTTGTTTAGGCAGTTTATGCAGAATAGGCGTAAGGTGTATGGGGCCTCGAAAAGTGGATTGGGCGATATCTGAGTGGGACATTTTACAATTTTATCAAGTCTTGTGGTTCTTTAAGATTTGTTTTAATAGATATATACAATAATTGTGCCTTGAAATGTATATTTATATATATTCTGACCAGGAAAAATGATATCCTGGACTTCAGTAAAATGTACCTAAAAACATTTATTACACTTAATTTATTGTGCGTGATACACTTCTTTTTTATGCGAGAACGAAGCAAACGATCTGGTGGTTCACCTGACGTTAAGTGATAACCGCCGCCCATGAACATTTGCAACACCCGTGGGATTGCAGATGCATTGCCACCATTCAATATAGTGGGCCCCGGTTACCTCACTCACTAGACGAAACGCAGAAATGTAACACATCACGCCAGTTTTCTGTGAGGTCGTGGTACTTACCGGATCTGCCCATTCGTGCAACAGCGAAGACTGTTGTGTGGCCCTGCCAGCGTGTTGTCTTCTAAAATTGATTGGTTCTAATAAATTGATTTGCAAAGAATACTTATACTTTATGTGAAAAATTGGCAAGCGATCAGTGGCGCTTCTCCTATGTTAAATAATTACCACTAGATGCGTTGGCATTGTTGCTTTTCTTTAGAAAGCGGTTACCCCACTTAGAAGACGTAATTTAAAACTATAATACCTTCACTTCACGTCGGTCTTCTGTAAGGCCGCGGCACTTGCTCGGACAAGACCGCCCATGCAACCACACAGTGGACCACTGCGTGGTCCTCAAGAGTAAAATTAGCGCATTGACACGGTCCAATCTCGGCCCGCAGATACAACTCGGGCAGCAAGTGCTTCTCGCAGGTGCACACGAAGCACCTGACGGTGACCATTGACGCGTTCACGATACACAACTCGCTGTGGCAGGGCAAGAAGGTGCAGCTGCCCAGCAAGAAGGACATGGCGCTCGTCATCTGAGCCGAGCGGGCCGCGAACTCCGTCCACGCCACTCGGGCAGTGACTCGATTCTGATGTTTTTTTTTTCGTTTTTAATAAAGTTATCTAGTCGCCGGCGGCAGTCGAGTCAGGACCTATCGCTCAGTTAACGCTTCGTAGGCGATGTTAGTCGAGTTGAGTGCTTGAGGTTCCGCCACGACGCGCGTTCCGTGTGTTTTCGACGCCCCCTTCGAATATCGATATCGAATGTCGACAAGATTCGTATCGTTATCGAGTATCGATTCGAAGGGTCGCCCGGGAGTGTGATGTCGACCGATTAGCGTTATTCGGCACGTTCGAGGACTACGCAGGGCCTCGTGCGCTCAGCGAATCGAGCGCACGAGGTTCTGGAACAGTACGCGGCCGATCGGTGCCTGTGTCATATTGTACAGATAGTTTTTGGTTAGAAAGTGTGAGTTCGAATCTGGATTAGGTTTAAAAGGCGCGCAAATGGCGCACGACTCGCGCGCGCATTGATCGACAATTCGACGCGATGCAAACACGACCGAGCAGTTTGTTTCACGGCGAATTTTTAATCTACACGCGAGTTTGAATTTTTTGGCGTTAGTTCATCAAAGGCTAGTATTGAGCCGAACTCGTTACGCTGGTGTTTGTGTTTTGATTGTTTAGCGCATTTCCGACCCGTTGCACCTCTAGATTTTCAATTCGCCCCTAGCTCACCTATTGCTACGGCCTAAATCCATTTAGATCCTTAAGTATATCGTGTCTCAAAAGTAGAGTTTGCTTGATGCTCTCTATTTAAATCACTCACATTTTTAAGTTGTATCTAATTCAAATGTTGTTTTTAATTTTTTCCCTTATTTATGGCACAAGTTTTAGCCAATCGCAAAACAGTTATGGGACTAATCAATTATCGCGATAAAAGACATTATGTAGGGAGCGGAAATTAATATATAACTGCGAAAAAATTGACGATTTCTTCGGCTAGGGGGTTCAGGTCTCGAAAACAGCGCCAATTGATTGGAAAGTGGCGTGCAGTGTAATGCTATCGCATTGTTTGCCATATGTATTAGTGAGATGGATGGTGCGTATGTTCCGGACGGACAAGTCTCAAATGCAAGTGCACCGGACAGGCTGCGGTGTTGTCGTTCTGTGTCCTCTTTAGGTAAAACTTATCCCGATAAGTAACAAATTCACAAACTAATCGTGCTTACCTGTTATAATATTTAACTTGTTAGTGATTATTTCAATTGACTGGAGGTATGATGATGATTATATCAATTGCGTATTTGTTTAAAACATTCATTTAACGTTATTCGATTTTTCCATTTTTTACTGCTTGTATAGGTAAAATAAGACAAGGCACATTTTACGTGGTAATTGTACTGCCTTACCCTGTACATAATTGTTTTTGTATACAGCTATTTATTAAAAGAATGTTAAACGAAAATTGATGAATATCATTTTTTCATTGTTCAATGATTGGTCATCAATTATATACTACCGATAGTGTATGGTATGCAAATATATTGTATTAATAAAAAGCATAACGAAATAATATTGAATTTCATAATATTGATGTGTTTTATTTCGTATCATCTCATTTTTTTTGTTTTACAAGTATACCAAAAAATATGATCAAACGCAACTGCTTCGGCTGTTGCACGAATGGGCAGATACGTTCGGTTAAATACCACGATCTGACAGAAGACCAGCGTGAAGTGGAAGTATAATACTTCTGCTTTTCGTCCTGAGTGAGGTAGCCGAGGTACACTTTTTTAATAAGTTTGCAATCCTTCTGTAACCCTACGGGTGTTGCAAATGTCTTGAATAATAATGATTAGCCACCTTATTATATAAAAAAAAGTGAATGGTCTTAATTAAATTGAAAGGAATGGTAAATATGTATAATATATGTTTATGCTTAATTTATATTTCTTTTGGCTTCTATTTTTTCCCCTTTGATATCTAACGCCACAGTAAGGGTCCTGGTAACTCACGTGACGTAAAGCAAAATTATAAATACGCGACGGCCCTCTGTGATCGTAGTACCGTTCTGATAATGCTGACATATTTGCGCTGCTTAAGATGTTATGTTACCTATTGTTACTGTGATCTTATTGCATTTTAATGAAGATTTAACAGAACCGCATATTCGTAACACAATGGCAAAAACTAAAATAAAACTGATCGAATGTGCAGTCTCTATTCAATGTATTAGTCCATCATTACATTTGCCCCTTTTCCCCGTCGATATACAGTGATGAACATTATCGATAAGAAAATCTTAAACAATCATGTTGTTTGTATGCTGGAAAGGATATAACAATGGTAACAATGGCGCAAAGCATTGCTTCAAATGCTAAATAATAATGTAGAAAGAAGGCGTTAAGATTTTCGTCGCTGTAGCTATCGGCCGTTTAGCTCAGTGGCTAGAGCGTCAGGCCGCGAATGCCGAAGACGGGTTCGATTCCCACAGCGGCGACAATCTTTTCGAACTTCTACATGTTTTAATGTTCAATATTAAGTGCAAAGATTAGCACTATAAATAATTTAAACTTCCAATCATGTTCTGTTTTGGCTTCATACATTTTGTTAAATTCAGAAATAAAAAGCAAATATTTCAAATCAGATTTATTCTTTTCACTGTGTCATTGACAATTGTTTTTCTTTATAATTAACGGACATCAATGGAGAAATGATTATGTTTACTTAAAACATTAGACAGTCTCGGATTTCATATAAAAATTGCTTGACAATTAAAAAATCTCTTGAAATTAATGACATCAGATTGCTGGAACGCTTTTTATCATTGTCATTGTAAGAAGTAAAGTTAACAAAAATTCTTGCATAAGAATAAGACGTTCAATAAAATATTATAAAATCAAATATAGGAGGCATCATTAAAAATAAGAAAATATTATTATAGTAATAATTGAACAATACGACAAATAAGGAGTTCGACTTTTGCTGGCCCTATGACAATGGCATAAGCAATGAGAATTAAATAAAATCTTCTACAATGCACTTTATAACCTTACAAAATAGCATTATTTTTTTTAAAATAATTATAGCGCCTAGAATTTAAAATCAAATACTTTTGGCTACTACCTGTATAATTTTTTATCATACATCAAAATACTATGAAATGTTTTATTCAACATAAAATTTCGATTATTCTATATATACAAGGAAACTGTTTACGAAATAAATATTATCATTATAATATTATATCACAAATATTAAATGATAGAACTGTTATAAATGCACGTGTGAATATTATACACCTTAACTAATACAAACATGTACCTAACTTAGGGTTTTGAGCAAATAATATTCGGGTTATGGTAACACATAAAACTTGGTAACCATCTGTCTGATACCAGATGATCATATAAATTTAAAACCTCTAGAATTCAAGAATCAACTCAAGGAAAATTTATTGCAGAAACGCGGTAAAATTGCAAAATCCCTTAATCATTTACACTACGCATAAATCAGCAACTTAATTGAGAGTACGAAATTGAGCTGGACATCCTAGACAAGTGTGTAGTAATGGGTTACGGGCGTGGAGCCATTGCTTTCAACACTCTTTTGTAAATTCAGCTGGTGCACCACTGTATCTGGGCCGTCTATATCCTGAAACAATCATTATAATTAATATTATTCATAAACAAATTTAGTTTTCAAAACAAATAAATGATTAGGAGTAATGGATGTGGTGAAGGGATTGGACAAACAACAGATGTGCAAAGGATAGGTTTGAGGAGAATGATGATTGTGATCAACTACACTCTACTACCCAGAGGTAACAGACCTTTTAAAAATTAACTGTCAGATCAGAACTGTTGTATCTTTCGTTTAACAAGGCTTACTTCACTTGTTGTTTGCCCTAGTTTTCATTGTTAATCTATAAACTACCAAATCATTTTTTAAAATTAAATGACAATGTTTGTGTCATTTAATTTTAAAAATACAAAAACTACGAAATATCCAATCCAATTTTTTGATCTGCTTTGTCTGCATTTTAACTGAATTAAACTTTCTTAGTTTGTGTATGCATCACACTCACACTTAATATGCATTCCTAAAAAGTGTTTCTAATCGTGTCTTGGTGTTTGTGTGGAGCTTTATAAGCTGTGAGCCTTATTCAATGAAACCTAGTGTTAAAACCTGTCCACCTTACCTCTATTTCTCACTCAGATTTGAAAATGTTTCTTCTAATAAAAAAATCAATAAAATAACACCGATATTTATTGATATCTCGATATTTCACTGGTGAGAAATATTGGCGATTCGCATAGTTTTTATCCTACGAATCAGTGTTGTGCACTGTTAAGAAGGCAATGCTCATGCAAAGGTCTATGCTGATATGCTCTTCTCTTTTCTACAGTAGCAACGGCAATATATGTTATAATGCCGTTGCTAGAGATGTCGACAAAATATCGATATTTTTGACTCTATAAAACGAAATTCTCAGCTGATATATTTAGATCCGATATATAGATACAAAATATTCAATAACGAAAATCGTATCAAACATGATATTTTTTCAAATTCGAATCCGGCACAGAGACCGTAGGTGTCAAATATTTAATACTTGACATACCATTTCTTTTCTTTTGGACTAACGGGTTTCTAGGACCCATATCCGATACATCGATATTTTTCCTTCGATATATAGGTAAATTTCGAAATCCCTAGCCGCTAAGAGTTAGGTACTAATCTTACCTCGTCGTCCGTGAAACTGTTGATCTCCACAGGTATTGTTTGACCGTCCTGCGTAATGACCTGCAACGATTTGCCATCGGCCGAAGTGATAGCGAGCCTGGTGCCGTCTTGCATCGTGAAGTGGAGCGGGTTGCCATGCTCATCGGTCACCTGCAAACCACATGATTGAAAAAATGTGCGTTTCAAAGAACTGCTCTATGATTTAGTGTCAAAGTATTGGACACTAAATCTAGGCCTTTAAATAATTAAAGCCTTAGATTTAAAATATATATATATATTCAATAAACAATCTACGAGATCTACCCACGTATGCAAACTGACTGTAAACTTCACTTTGTAAATGACTATACAAAATAATTCATTTGTCATCAAAAATAATTTGTTCCTCTAATATAAAATGTATTTAAAATGTTCTTACAACACAGGATAAAGTTATCCGACACTAAGTGGTCGATACTTTCGAAGGGAAGACCACAATAGATCTTTATGGGTCGCATCGATCGTTTGGACTTACTAGGAAAACCCTTCCACATGATACAAATACAACTGCATGGCTCGTACGAGTGACTAAATATGTCCACCGAGTGGCACCACCCACCGGCAAGTGATGGCGGGCGTGCTCGTTGGCGACCGTCGGCTGCGCCACCTCCTCGAGCTCCAAGGGCTCGGCCAGCTGCTCCAGCTCCAGATGCTCAAGACCCGCCTGGGGCACCAGCAGCGACGAGCCCCCGAACAGCTCGCGGCCTGAATGCAGCTTCGGGTCCTCGAACCCGACGGTCTGTGGGGGCAGATCATTTTTTTATCTATCTGTCTATACATGTAGATGGCTCGACGGCGCCGTTGCTAAGCTGTTGGCTTCGGCGTCGAGGGTCGTGGCTTCGATTCCCACACGGGACAAGTATCTGCGTGACCCACAAATAATCTCCGATCTGGGTGTATGTTTCCCAAGGAGGGTTGACCGTCAGGCGGCCAATCGTAAAAAAAACAGCCGACCGTAACTAGGTGGGATAAGGACAGGAGGATGATTATGATGATATGGACCACCCATTCGTGTTTTTCGCTGGTTATGCGACGTTACTCGAAGGTGGCGACAGGAAAACTAGATTGTTTAAAATGAAATCCGCGCAACTGGGTATTAAGACGCCGAATAAGTAATATTCGAACGCCATACTGTACATGCGTTTTTATTAGTATATTAGTAATAATAGCTTTGTGTACACTATCAATAAAACGGATGGATTAGTTTCTAATTATTAATGAATATTAAAATTTTAATGCTAAACTCTGCACTTAAGATGAAACATTAAAGTAATGTAGAAATAAGGATGAAAAGCTTCTCGCTACTGCGGGAAGCGACACATTCGTCTTCTGGATTCGCGCATATACGCTTTAACCACTAAGCTCTTATGGCTGATTGCAATACCGCCAAAACTCACAAAGCCACACCGGCTTATTAATATAATTTTTCTCTTATTTTTTTAAAACATCTAGGAAATCTAGGATTTCCTTACTCAACAATAGGTTAATATAAGTGACGCATATGGAAATCCTCCTAGTCTTATTGTTGCAGAGACAGTTCACAAACTTAAATTAAACAAAAGCAATAGTTCTGACCCGGAACAGATATCAGGGAAGTAGGTCATTGATACATTGCTTATAAATTTTGTAATAAATAGGTCAGCATATAACACACAATATATTAAGTAAGGTTTAAAATGACAAAAGAATGAAAGCAAGAAAACATTTACTGAAATTATTCATTGTCACCATTCTGTTGAAGAATTTGCTTTTCATTTAAAAACACTATAACAAACTTTGTATTTCAAACCTGTTCATGTCCAAGTATGTGCAGCGAGGGTGTCGAATCTTCTACATCGTAGGCAATGTATATAACTCTGTCTTCTGAGTCTCCTTCTTGTTGCTCGGTGATAACCTCGGTAGGCATTTGTTGGTTGTCAGGAACTAGGAGGCTCATTTGTTTCACGGGCTATAGGGAAGCGCAACATAGTAATTAAACATTTTACTTTCTAATGTCTTATAGCTTGACTCGACCTATGCACCTTTTTTGCGTGCTCACGAGTTTTGAGCGCGTGGCGTGACTTCATTTGACAGTTGTAATATATTTTCAACAATCATCGCCATAATTCAGAAAATTTACTTTAAAACTTTAAGATGAAGAGTGCGAGCGCCACGGCGATACTTTTGCGCGGGTGCGACAGAGACAGGCGATGAGAGGTCAACGTACGACAAGTCCATTTTTTATTAACAAAAACAAAACCGATTTCAAATCTCTCGCTGTTTATATTTTATAATTGATTTTCGGGAGTTTCCTAAGTATCTCCGGAGCTCAAGATCCAATACCAATGCAATAAAACGGGACCGCACGGGAAGCACCAGCTGTCAAATAAATAATAATCAAAATCTGTTCACCCCGTCGAAAGTTATGAGGTAAAAAACATAAAAAAAAAATACAGTCGAATCGAGAACCTCCTCCTCTTTTGAAGTCGATTTTTTTATGTGAAAAAGTGGCAAACGATCTTGCGGTTCACCCGATGTTAAGTGACAACCGCCGCCCACGGACATTCGCAACGTCGGTTGCAGATGTGTTGCCACCTTCATGTGGGGCCACGGCCACCACACTCACCAGACGAAACGGCGGTCTGCCGCGAGGTCGCGGTACCAACCCGGACGGAGCTGCCCATTCGTGCAACAGCGAACACCGTTGCGTGGTTCCACCGACCGTTGTTGTTCCAACAGTTGAGTACAGAAGCGGCGCCCACCTTGTCGGCGGGGGGCGCCGGGGCGGCGGGGGGCGCGCTCCCGCCGCGCGGCGCGTGCCTGCGCGCGTGGCGCAGCAGCGCGGCCCGCTCGGCGAACGCGCGCCCGCACACCGAGCAGGCGCAGCGAGGGCGCCCCCCCCGCCCCCTCGCGCCGCACGTGCGCCGCCCACGCGCTGCGCGACCCGAACCTGCGGGTTTTTTTTTATTCATTCCCCTTCTTCACACGAAAACCGGCCAGTGCTATATCACCATCTCACCCGATGATGTTAGCGCGGTCGTTTGCAACAGTTCAAAGTTATAACTCTGCACCAACTGTGGGAGGAATACTTTAGATTTTTCCGTGATTCGTATAGAAAAAAAAAATGAAAACTTTGTCCACTAATTCTATCAAGAACCACTGTTAAAGTGGAAACACATGTAGTTTAAGCAAATTATGCCATATGTATAGCGCGTAGATTGACGAATATACATAGCGCAGTGCTGTTGTTGAGATGACATTGAAATTACTCGAAGACGAAGACTATTCCAAGTCACACTTGGACGTCGAGAGAAACTGGGGACACGCTCTTCGGGCACTCGCCAACCCTGGCGGAGTCGCCATGCACTCACTGAGAGAGAGGCATTAGGACGGATCGTAAGGATAAATGTCAATCCTATCCTATCCTGATACAGTAACATGGCCGTTGGCGGGAAAGGTGGAAGGGGGGGGGGGGGGGGGGAATTCCAGGTGTGGTGTAACTCTTCAAGCAGTGGGCGCACGCGTGAGGGCGGTCGGGATGACGTCCAGTTTGCCATGTGCCTATCCCGATCCAGTCCCGTGGCGGGTGGCAGGGGGTGGGGTCGCGTACCTCTTGCCGCAGTGGGCGCACGCGTGCGGGCGGTCGGGCGCGTGGCGCCGCGCGTGCAGCCGGTGCTGCGAGGAGGTGGTGAACCTGCGCGGGCACCAGGCGCACTGGTACGGCTTCTCGCCCGTGTGGATGCGCTCGTGCTCGAGCAGGTTGCCCTTCTGGCTGAAGCACTTGCCGCACATCTTGCACGAGTACGGCTTCACGCCTGCGAACCGGGCAACAGACGCTAAATTGAGTAGGTCGAAGGTGTAACGCAACAGCCCCAGGCAGGTCCCTCCGGATAAGTAACCACGACCCCACAGAAGACCGCCGTGAAGTGGAAGTATCATCAGAAACTTTTGCGTTTCGCCCGGCGAGTGTGGTATCCGGGGCCCACTATAGTAGCCCGCATTTGCCACCATACGGGTGTCCATCGACAGCTATACTATCACTTAACATGTTCTCACATAAAAAAATATTACGATAAAGTCGCGACCCATAGCGGATTGGCGAACTTCACATCTCTTTTATCATTCATTTAAAGCATTTTTATGATTATTTCCGAAATATAGGATACGTTTAAATGTTATAAGTCACGAAATTTACAATCAATACAGATGTGTTATAAGTTAAATATTTCGTCTAGAACAATATCGAACTGAATAGTGAACAATGAGGAACATATATATTTTATCGTATCGCGGCAATTTAACATAAATCATATTAAGCAATAAACCCTCACCCGTGTGCCATCGCATGTGCAACGTGAGACTGGTTTTGTGCGCGAACTTGTGCTTGCAGATCTCGCAGCTGTACTTCTTGATGCCAGAGTGCAACAGCTGGTGGTTGATCAGGTTCGCCTTCGTCTTGAACGTGGCGTTGCAAGACTGCGGGAAGGAGATTTTTTATGTGAGGAGGTGACGAGCGAGCTGGCGGTTCAACTGGTATTGAGTGAACCCCGCCCATGGACATTTGCAACACCCGAAGAGTTGCGTGTGCGTTGCCACCTTTCATTACAGTGGGCCCCGGTTACCTCACTCACCGGACGAAACGCAGAAGTCTAACACTTGCGCTTCACGCCGGTTTTCTGTGAGGTCTTCCGTGGTCCTACCCCAGACGGACCTGCCCATTCGTTAAACAGCAAAGATCGTTGCGTGGCCCTAGCACAGATTATTCTAGATGACTGAATCTCTCGAACATCAATAGCCAATCTAAGGTATTTTTTTTCTTTATTCAATGAAAAATGTTTTAAGATTTTACTGAACGTCTAAATGACAACCAGATATGTGTTATATTCTGTTACATCTTCCGAGCCATTCATCATCATCATCCGAATCCACTGCTGAATATAGGCCTCTTGCATCCATCGAGACTAGACTTGCACGAGTCGTCACTCCATCAAGTCGTCGTCCACTGAGATTACTATTGGCAGCAGCCGTTACCCTCCCTGAATCTAATGGCCAGCTCCTACCCGTTCACCCCGCCACCAACGCAAATTGATCTGAACCACTTCCATTTTTCCCGTTGTAAATGGCCAGTACGAGCCGTTACCCCGCCAATCGTGAATGTAAGTAGCAACCACTGCGGGCTGGTTCCAGGTCTGGCGCACCTTGCAGGCGAAGGGGCGCAGCTGCGAGTGCACCAGCTGGTGGCGCTGCAGCAGCTGCTTGTGGCGGAAGTGCTTCCCGCAGGTGCCGCACACGAACCGCTGGCCCGCGTGCGCCGCCTGCTTGTGGTACACCACCGACGACGGGTGGTTCAGCACCTGCAAACGCAGTATGCGCCTTTGCAATATAAGTCATCACCTGCAAACACAGTATTCGCCCTTGCAATATAAGTCAGCACCTGCAAAGGCAGTGTGCGCCCTTGCAATATAAGTCAGCACCTGCAAAGGCAGTGTGCACCCTTGCAATATAAATCAGCACCTGCAAAGGCAGTGTGCGCCCTTGCAATATAAGTCAGCACCTGCAAAGGCAGTGTGCACCCTTGCAATATAAATCAGCACCTGCAAAGGCAGTGTGCGCCCTTGCAATATAAGTCAGCACCTGCAAAGGCAGTGTGCACCCTTGCAATATAAATCAGCACCTGCAAAGGCAGTGTGCGCCCTTGCAATATAAGTCACCACCTGCAAAGGCAGTGAGCGCTCTTGCAATATAAGTCAGGTCCCAGTTACCTCCTCGACCGGACGAAACACAAAAACATAATGCTTCTACTTCACACCTTTCTTCTGCATGACTCAGATATTTAATTCACATTCTCAGGTTTACTTAATATAATACTAAACATTTTGCTGAAAACAAGACAAATAATATAAACAAGTAAATATTTTTACATATTTTTACACAATGTTATTTCTAGTGTCTCACAACTAGGCGAAGCTATAAGCTAAAGGAACTCACAATATTTTACGCACAACATTTTTCCACAAGTGGGGATCAAACGTACACCCTCTGACGCAAGAGGCATGATCACGAACCACTATTCTGTGACAGGAGCCACTTAACGTGGACCTTGTGTTGGCGTTTGTACTGTTGCAGCGGGAGGAGTTTGAAACGCACGTCACCTTCCCACAGAGGTCGCAGGCGTAGCCCTTGGAGGAGGTCTTGCGCCGATGCGATATCGCGTGGAGAGCCAGGGAGCGGGGGTAGCCGAAGGCGGCCCCGCACTCGACGCACTTGTAGGGCCGCTCGCCTTGATGGACCGCCTGAAAAACGGAAGTATCTCTATGCACTGTCTGCCAAACATCTCGGGAAACAGAGAGCATCCGGTGTTTTCGGTTCTTTTCTCTTCATAAATTAAATTATCCTTTGTTACAAGGAAGTTTGAATTCAGGAACTTATTTGTGGGTCACACAAATACTTGTGGGAATCAAACCCTTGAACACTGTCAGATAAACAATATCATGATTGCAGGAGACAATTTGTTAGGCAAATTGACTACTCATATAAATTCAGTCATCGAATTCTTAACAGAATGAATCCACCTAAAGACTGTGTATCTTTGGAGCAGGCGATCCATAACTTTAACTTAACTTTAATTGCAAACCATGGTAAAGGAACAAATTAATGCCTGCAGGGGGCAGTGTACGCAAATAAAATATGGAAGAATTTCTGTCAGTCCTAAATGGCACACCGAAAACTTTACCATGATGGGCGAGGCATATAAACTGCCCCCTCCATGATTTAAGTTCAATCATGACAGTTTGGGAGTTATCAAAATACTGTTTAATCAATTCAAAATGCCTTTAATTGTTGTGAAGTGGTGCTGGTATCACACAGTTCATCATTCTAAGGATGGAGTCATTTTCCATGTTTATGTACAATAAGATTCTCATAGATATCTACTAATCTAATTTAATACTCTCTTTTTTTTTGGCAGTGATGATATTTTACCTTAAAAAGGAACTAATTAAAGACTTTCAATGTAATTAATTTACAGATTACACAACAGAGTAAAGGGACATCCAGAAAGACTATCCTGAAAGACTTTAAAATTTACAACTTGGTTCAAAATTCACTGGAAAGTGCAGAAGTACATCTACAAGACAACACTTGTAGTTAAGTTTAATGCTGATAATAGTCAAACAAACACTGGTAATAATACATAATCAACTAACACTGAGGAAGAAGGATATATAAAGTTTCCTTCTCCATCCTTGTGGTTTATAATAATGATCGTTTTATTACTGATTTATTATTTGAAATGAATTGTGAGCACTATTAATTAACAGTCACTCATATGAACATGCACCTTCCATGTTTTATCCGCATTTACTGCTGCAGGGCTAACTTTCTTAATGTGTATCAAAACACATATTTCCTTTGTCTAGTTGTTTATGTTATTATAACGGCGACCGAATGGCGTAGTGGGTAATGTACCTGCCTCCTGCGTCAGAGAGTGTGGGTTCTATCCCCACTACTGGAAAAATATTGTGTGATGAACATTGTGTTTTTCGAGTGTCTGGGTGTTTATATATGTATAATATGTATTTATTTACAAAAGAAAAGTATGTTTAAGTATGTCTATCAGTTATCTAGTACCCATAGTACAAGCATTGCTTAGTTTGGGGCTAGAGAATGTTGTGTAAAAATGTGTCCTAAATATTTATTTATTTATTATTAAACAAACTGCCAGCCATACATAAAGGATCAAGGTGCCCAGTAATTAATCCAAACCAATATCTTGATCCAAATTTACAAGACAAAGATTATTATTAGACTTTCATTTGCTAAAAACTTTATATGTATATTTAAATTGTAAATCTCTTGAGAAATGAAACTACCTTAACATGAAGTGATCTGCTTTGCTTGCTGTTGAAAATTTTATCGCATTGATTGCATTTGAACTTGTTATTGTCAGCTTGCTGTTCAACTTCAGACTCTGCTAACTTATCACTCGTGTCTGTAATATGAATCAAATATCATACATTATAGAAAAGTAAATGTCATACTAACATGACATCGTAAATTACATAATAATGAACATGGATCAATTTTAGTTTTAAATTTTGATTTTCATTTGCAAAAACCTATTATCATTTTGCATATTTTGAGATCGTTTTGTTATTTATGCTTATGTAAATATCTCAGCTTACTCTACCCCACCTTATCAATATTATAATCTCATTGATACGTCTTTTGTTTGACGCTCAAGAACTGCTAAATTCCCACAATCAGCAGTGACAATGAACACATAGCATTGCAAGAAACCATTTCAATTATGAAGAAATGAATTTGATTTATGATTGGAAAATATAAAAGCAATTTAAATATAAAAGCGGTTACAAATTTTAGAAAATATACACTCAAATGAAGAGCGTATTTCTTCAAAATAACAAAATATTGTGTATAAGAAATTGTACCCGCAGACTATTTTGTATTGCTTAAGATTTTGTAAAGCCTTCTACATCAAAATAGGAAATTGGGCATACTACATACCTATAAAAGTATTGGGAAATGAAGATTTAAGAAAAATTTTCATTGAAATTCGGCATACTATATACCTATAAAAGTATTGGGAAATGAAGATTTAAGAAAAATTTTCATTGCATTGCTCACAATGAGACAGAAAATTATAAGTGTACTTAAATCATAATTAGATACATATTTTAAGTATACTTATACTATGGACAATATCATTACTGGGGAAATGCTTACCATTGTTTTCTTGACCATCAGTTTCAGCTTTTACATTGATTGCATCTGCTAAGTTATTTCCTTCAAAAGCTTCACTTTTTATATCCAATGATGGTGCATCGTTCAAACCAGGCAATGCTTCAGGCAAGGACGTCGATTGGACATTACTAACTAATTTTTCTACTGATGCCAATGGCATTGAATCAGTGCTGTTTTTTGAAGAATTTTCGGTTGACACGCCAGAGTTCTGTAGAAAATATGGTTCACTTTTTACAGTGTACACACAGTTACAATTTGAAAAGATACAGATCAAATGTCTAAAATTACAACAAATATTTAAAGGGGGAAAATGATAATATCACACTGCATTGTTCTCAAAGGATTAAGTATACTCACCCCAGTTTCTTGCTCCGTAGGTGTCACATCCTTACATTGAAGGATATTCTGCCCAACATGGCTAGTCTCAGTTTGGTGATCATTAAACTTTAACCTGGTCGAGAAAGTCTCGCCACACTGGGTGCACTGATATAAAACAGGTCCATGTCGTGCAATGTGAGACATATAGCGTCCAACACTTGAAAACATCATTCCACATATCATGCAATGTTCACGGGTCTGACGTGTACGCCCTGTAATATTTTACCAAGTGTTAAGATATACCAATCAAATTAAATTATCCTACTTTTTTATTTTCAGTTACAACATCTCGCGTTTTTATTTTTATAGCACTCAATGGTCATATTTCTTGTAGAGATTGATTTTGGCTTTTCTCAGAGACACAAGATATTAGCACAAAGACCAAATCACATATTAAAATATGTACATTACATAGTTTTTTCACAAACTAATGAAAACTAGTACAGAAGAATCTCACTAACCTAGCACTATTAAAAATTAGAGGGTGCCGGATTATTAGAATGTTCGATTATTGTATTATTGAGAATTATATTATTATAGAATTATATCTGCGTAGAATATGCTGAAGGCGTAACATTCAGACAGAAAGGCAGAAATACATAAAATATGTATATAAATTATAGCCTAAGTCTTATTCTGATGTATAAGCTATATTATTGTAGTTTCATTAAAATCCATTCAGTAGTATTTGCGTGAAAGAGTAACAAACATCCATCCACTCACAAACTTTTGCATTTATAATATTAGTAAGTATTGTAGAGAAAAATTCATAATAAATAAAATAAAGTATTTCAAGATAATATAATGTATCTATTTCTATTTCTGTTCAAGAGGTTTTTTATATATGTTTAAATTAAAAAATTTGGTTTAAATGAAACAGAATACTTCAAATTTTAAAGTAAATTTCTACATTTGAAATATAAAATATTATACATAAAGTATCACATACCTTTTGGTCTACCCCGACCCTTTCCTTTTACCACAACAACCAACTCTCCAGATGTCTCCATGTGTCCTATAACTTCAGGCTCTTTTGAAACTGGAATTTTCGGGCATTTTTCTGTAACTTGCTTACTATCTGTGTCACTGTCTTCACCATCAGTCACACCTTCTTCTTTAAATATTCTTTCAAGTTCTTTTCCCTGTTTTATGATTAGAACAAAAATAATAAACTTCAACAAATTTTCCTTAAGTTTCCGGGTTTTTCTCGAAAACTATAAGCGACCGCCAAATTCTGCTTGTTGATTATTTCATTAGTGATTTTTCTTAACAGAATAAAAATTTTGTTTGGTCGAAAACACCCGGAAACTTATGGAAATTTTTCCCCCAATGTCATCCATTTTATATTTTTATTCACTCTAATATGAGTTACATAAAAAAAAAAAAACAATATTTTAAGGTGTAAGACAATTGTTGTTCACAGTTGAACAGATATATAACTTATGATGAACATACATAATCACACATATGTTTATTTTCTTTTTTACCTGAACTACTTCCTTAAATCTTTTTGGAGTTTTCCTGCGCCTCTTGCCAGTAGGCTCATCACTGTCATTACCCTCATTTTTATTTTTTTCTTCATGTATCTTGACAGCAACTTCCTGGGCCAATTCCTCAGGACTCTTTGGTTTTTTTGGTGGTCTTCCTCTTTTCCTTTTAGGCTTTTCTAGTCCAGCCACTTGAAGAGCTATTGGATGCTCAATTTGATAAACACCATTACTAGTGTTTACTGCAATTTTTAAATGATTCGTTTAAATTTTAAATACCTATATGCTACCGAACTAAAAAAAGTGAACTTTGTCAAGCTTACTCTCATAAACTATTTTCTCGGTGATAATTTCAGGATCATTTGAGGGTGCAAATGACTTCTTGTATTCTTTTTCTCTTTGATGAAGCTCTCTTAAAATTTTCTGTAAATAAGGATAAAAAAATTCTATTTAATATTAAAATTGTAATTCTTACAATAATACTACCAGAAAATATTTTTATTACCTGGCCATTTATTATTAAGTTCAGGAATTCAACCATTGCCTCCAACTGGATCGTACATCCAGGGCATATAGTTCGAGGTAATTGTCCATCATCTGATACCTGTTTGTGGAAAAAAGGACATATTTCCTTAGAGTTTGAGCATCATGTCTGGCGTGATAAGATATTACATTTGGTTTCTCTAAGAATGCCACCACTCTTGTCTGCGTTAACAAACACGTTTTATTCATTTTAGGCGGCTATAAGTTAATCAGTAATTACTATATCATTACTAGTAAACTAGTTTATTTCTCAATAACCAAATATCTATTATTAGAGTAGAGAAACAAAAATATGTCAAATTTGGCGGAAGTGGCGCACAATAACGAAATTAACAATTTGGTCCTCTCCTTATAAATATTAATACGTTTTTATAAATATAAAGTATGATAAGTATTTTTATCTACAATAACAAACAATTTGGTAAATTTAAATATTGATATACTAATTAACCCACAAATATAAAAAAGAATTGTAATAAAGTAATGAAAATGTTAACTAGTATCAAAAAGTCAGCCATCTTGAGCAAATTCGAAGTCAAAACAGACACAATTTATTCTAAATTTTACTTTACCTTAATGGGTAAATATTTATTAATAATTTCACTGAGATTTTGGTTATTTTCTTCACTTGCATATAATAAATTACCGTTATCATTCTCTTCTCCACACAGTCGACAGACCGTAGAATTGTATAGGAACACTTCCATCTTTGTTATGTGGAAAATAGCGCCATCTATGTCCTTGTAGAGTTGCAACCTTAAAATTCTACAGTTCCTCTTACCTTTTATTGTTTGGGGTAAGGATAAAGAGAATAATTAAAATTCGTATGTAATATTTTTAATAAACTGTATTTATATATAATAAATAGTAATTAAATTTAAAAATAAAGTATTTTACGAATTATAACTCGATAAAAAATTTATTGTATCAACACTGGTTTATTTAATTAAGCGAAGTTTAGGAATATGTTTGTACATGCCATCGAGTTAAAAGCTACCTTTTTTATAAAAAATATTACGAAAACATACAATAAATGTCTTATATAGCAGTGTATGCAATATTATATAAGTAGATAAGCCATAGCGAAATTAAAGCACTCAAATCTGATGAAAAAAGGCCTATTAAAGCTTTTATGACTTTGAATGAAAATCATGAATCATGAAAAATGTCATATTTCATATTTTTTAGCTGTTCACCCAATTCGTAGAAATTTTAATAAGTAATAAAGGTAAATGAACGAAGATTAAAGTCGAGCCACGGCACAATTTTCAGGCACTTTGCTTTTAACTCAATATACTAGAGTGACCTGAGTGCTAATCTGAATCCCTATACCAATTAACTTGTTAATTACAGTCTTTAGTGCCACCTTATCTTGTGCTCAACGGAGATCAAGACATTGTGAGGAAACTAGCATGTTTTCGAAATAGTCATAAAGATGATAAAAATATTTATGAAGTCTATCAATACACAGTTGGGTCTGGTGGGGGGCTATGCCTTGATACAAAGGAGGCTTATGCCTATTATCTGGCGATAGCAGGTGAAATAATAATAATAATAATTCTTTATTTTCTCACCACAGTATGTATCACAATCGTATTTCAAAAGGTGGATGTACAAATTAATTTTCATATTGTGGGAAACTGATGCACCAAACTAAGCTCAAGGCTTGTATTCTTGGGTCATCAGGTCCCCTCTCCTTATAAATTTGACAGTGTGTTTGACAGATCTTTACAATTTACATTTTAAAATGAGAGTAAATGAGAACATAAAGATTACTGTTAATAAGTGAACATACATATAAATTTAAATTAAGTGTTACTTAAACCACTTGCGTTCGTGCGTGTGTGTGTGTGTGTGTGTGTTCGTGCGTGCGTGCATGCATATATGTGCGTGTCTTATTTATCTGTTGCTTTATTTGCCTAGAAGGAAATAGAAATAAACGATTTAAATCACAACGAGGATCGTTAGAACAGGACATTATGTATCTTTCCAAGGCTTTCCCCCAGATGAAGGTTTCAATATCTGCTTGGATCGTAATCCATAGTGGTTGACGAAGTTTATAATAATCCAAAAGCTACACCCGCATAATGAAGCTATGAAAGTCGCCGAGCTAATTTTATATAAAAATGCTTTATTTTAATTTTCTCACAGCCACAGTCATCGTTGCAGCTTTAATACTAATTTTACAAAGTTTTTTATCTATATTTCAGTTTGACAGAATTCTTCATGGCAACATTGATATAATCTATCCTTTCTTTCTTTTCACAGCCCTTTCCGGTGTAGTTCTTGGGGCTGGGAGCCGTAGTTTCGGTTTTTATTATTTAAATCGCCTTTAATCCACCAAAATGAGAATCTATAAGGATATTATTACCGGTAAATATAATTAATACCTTGACTTTAACATATTTCGTTTATTATTTTTGTGAATAAATATGAAAATGTCAGTGATAGTGAGTGACATATTCAAAAGTGATATTTCATATTTTATAAGAACTTTCTGCCACATAGGCAATTAAAGTGGATGTCTTGTCATTAAAATCAATGTAATATGATTATATAGTATTTTGTATGATTGTTTTAGGTGATGAGATGTTCTCAGACACATATAAAATGAAATTGGTCGATGAAGTTATTTATGAAGTCACCGGTAAATTAGTTACAAGATCACAAGGCGACATCAAAATTGAGGGCTTCAACCCATCTGCTGAAGAAGCAGATGAGGGCACAGACAGCGCGGTAGAGAGCGGTGTTGATATCGTGCTAAACCACAGGCTAGTGGAAACGTATGCTTTCGGAGACAAGAAGTCCTACACATTATACCTTAAAGACTATATGAAAAAGTGAGTGCTGAACATCCTTTTGATGACATTTATGTATTTAATAGCAGTATTATATACAATATTCTATTGCTGTGCCAATATTCAGGTTATATTTGATACGATAAAAATTGAGTTAACTGTTTAAAATGTTAACCATTTTTGTAAAGATTAATTTATCTCTTTCAATTTTTTTAAGTTCACTTATACAATAATTTGAATTAAGTTATTCAACAAGCACTTCATATCCATAAATGCAATAAATGCACTTTTCATAAATGCAAGTCTCTAGTAAGAAAAAAAACTGTTCCAAATTATTATAAAGTTTGGCTATTAAAATGCTGTCTGTGATAATTTAATTTTTTTTTTGATAAATTATGATTACAGTTGCGACTAGCATCATCTAATACCAATAATGATTCTATGTCATTTTATTGGAGCTTTTGATGCAAGATAAAGGAACTTTAATGAAAAAACATTCATTTCTATAGTGTTTGTTCATGAAATAGAGCTAACAAAATGGGAAAACTTACATTGTTATTATGGTATTTAGTTCTAAGCTATGGAAATCATTTCTTTCTGTAAAGACTAACCCTTCTATTAACTATTTTTCAGATTAGTTGCAAAATTGGAAGAGAATGCTCCAGACCAGGTAGACATATTCAAAACAAATATGAACAAAGTTATGAAAGATATCCTAAGCAGGTTTAAGGAACTCCAGTTCTTCACTGGTGAATCAATGGACTGTGATGGCATGGTTGCCATGATGGAGTACAGGGATATTGATGGAGTATCCACGCCTATCATGATGTTCTTCAAACATGGCTTGGAGGAAGAGAAGTTCTAATTTTACGGCATAAGTGAACGAACTTATATTATTCCAATTTTACAACACCGACACCTAACACTCATTTTTATTTATTTATGTGATCATGTCTGCATTGGGACTGGCTGCTGCTCCCTATCTCAAGGCTGAACAATTTTGTAAAAATAATAAATGTTGCATACTATGAATAAATTAATCTACAGATAATAATATTGTTCAATTCATTATCCCTTCTTGGCTGCATTATAATATAATTTTTAAGAATTAATTTTTTACTGTCTGCAATGTACCACACAGTTTTTTTCATATTATTGTTAATTTTATGATTTGTATTTTTTTTATTATGTACAGTGAAGCAGTTGTGATAGTTTAGTGTCCTAGTGCTTGTGACCAGTTCTTGATGCTAACCATTGTGCTGGCACCAACAACACTGTTCATTGTAATTTAAAGGGCCAACTTATTATGTGGTGAAGAAAATAAAATTGTGAGGAAACCTCTATATTTTCAAAATAATAATAAAAAAAAAAAATAATATACAAGATATCAAAGAGATGTGAAGTCTGGCAATCCACTTAAATATGGCTGTTTAGCCATATAGATTTGTTTAGTGAATATTTGAATATTCCTCGAAACGAAAATTTATAAGAAGCTGAATGCAGCAGAACAAAAGTTCACAACTTTGACAGTGAACAAGTTCTGCATCTCAATTTATATATTAAATACATTATTTTCTTTGTCCTATGACCTTATTTAATTATGACAAGAACTGATATTTGATGCATTGATTTGAGACTGAAATAATGTCCCAATTTGTTATGATTTTGAACTTTTTTTTTAATAACTAAAACTCACTCAAACAATTATGTATTAACTATTCAAAAGTTAAATTCTGAGTAACAGATATTGATAACAATAAATTATATTCTTGTATCGCATCTTCTCTTTGTTTGCATAAAAACTTAATATGGTATAACAGTGATGATACAAATTTATAGCATGGCACTACATTATTATTAGGTAGCCGGCAACGCTTCTGCAATCCTACGGGTGTTGCAAATGTCAATGGGTGGTGGTTATCACTTAACATCAGGTGAACCGCCAGCTCGTTTGCCACCTTCTCGCATTAAAAAAAAGTGTCTGCTGCCCACTTCTTTAAAAAGCTGGCAAAACTAGACAAAAAAATTCGAAAATATTGAAAGGGTGGAAGTGTTTTACGATTATTATCAAAGACCAATCACGTGTTTGTATTTAAGTTTGTGCTTTAATCTTAAATATAAATAATAACTAATCTTTAAATTGTACATTTTTGTAGATAAATGAACAAAAACATTCGTCGCTGCGGGTTTCTAATCTGAGTGTTGTAATAAGCAATCTTACTAACATTTCCGAGTTATAGGCATCGAATACGTTTATTTGTTGAGTAGATTTTTGAATCATGGTATTGATTAAGGACAGGTTCTTCGTAAAAAATTATAAAGTTGCTCATTTGTTTGTATCAAATGTTGAGAAATAGCACGTGGCATTCTTTTTGGATGTCAAGGCGTTTTGTTATTGAAATAAAACTAAGGATAAAGTTTGAGGTATGTTATATTTATCGAGTTTGTATGTATGTAGGTAATAACTACAATAAAGTACAGAAATGATCAATGCCCTATTACAATGTGAGTACACTAATCACAATTTTCCATATGTATTTATCAACTTGTATACTTTGTTAGGCATTCATAGGCACTAATGAAATGCTTTTAATTTGATTTAGTCTTTAAATTCTCCGTATTTACAACAATACAATACCGCGCTCTATAGTTCACAAGTCTACATTTTATTTTAAGTTTGACTGTTTACCAATAAAAAATTGTTTCTACAACAGCAATCACATATTTTGTGCACGCCATAAATGTTTAATATTTCATTCTTTTAGAAAATTGCATAATGTTTCCATGTTTAATGCAATGAATTACTATTTTTATATTGGTAAATGGTCAAATATTATCCACCGATTATAAAAGTTATGTTTAATTTAACATTTTCAAAGAATCAATGAGTTCAAGGTAATAATTTATGTCTAAACAATAGTTACAGACAGGCAATGCGAATTAATTAAAAGGTATATTTTAAAAAGGATCTTAATTTATTAATTAGAATACTCGAAACGATACACGCAGGACGTAAAACGGAGTGTAAATTACTACTAGAGCTACCTAGAATCCAAGGAAGTACCTACTTAAGGCAAAGTATAGCCCAATTCAATTTGTTTCTTCACAGCCATTCCTTGAACTGGTTCTAATCGCAAAATTAAATTTTAATCAATCGGGTGAATGTCAACTACGTTTAATCTGTTCACCGCGTTATTTTAATAATAAGGCTTTCTCTAGCAGTACACTCTTAGTTTAAATGACAAAGGTTATTAAGTGTTGACAAGTGAAATTTAAAAAAATACTATCTTAGGATTGAGCATTACGAAGTGATAAGACGTGACAAGATTGGAAACTGGTGCTTTCATACCTAATCAATACGAATCTTAGTGTACATATTAACAATAGGTAAATGACAGAGTCACGAAATCTCAATGGTTCGTAAGTCAGTCCAAATAGCAAACAATACAATATTGGATAATCACGAAAGGAAATTTGACAATTTTAGAAGAACAAGATCGTTTTAAATTTTATAAATATCTCCATATAAATATATTTACATTCGTTAATTTCTAATATTCTTTTCTCATATTGGTGTCTTATTTAATGCTTACTTATTTTAGTAGTCTATAAATAAAACGTTAGATTAAAAAGGTATTCTTATGGAATGGTTTTTGTACAAAATCAAACACAAAAATCCACAATTGTGGATGAAAAACAAATATCTACTAATCACATGATAAAGATGAAAAATAATAGTCGGGGAGGTCCCTCACTAACTGACATAACCTCCTTTATCTAACCTTATCTCGACTAGCCTGTACATTGTACGATTTTGGTCGGATCGTTTAAGAGTACAGTTATCGCAAAGACACATTGCGTTCAATTAGTATTTGTCTGTAGTCAATCAAAATTACGCTCCGTCATTCGATATCTGTACCACGAATCCGCCTCGTTCTTGATGAAAGTCAAACTTTCAAGCGTCCCGCTCCCCTTACATTCATTCCATTGAAAAATAGATCCCTCGCTACTTAAATTTATAATATACAAATAAGGTACTCTCTTATTAAACCGAATACGATTCAGGATAATTTTCACTGGTCGTTCACCGAACCCGAAACACTGAATGTCACTAACCGCTCTAGAGCTCTACATCCCATCACAAATGAGTCCTCTCATAGAAAAACATAATGGAATGAAGATTTATTGCTAGAATTACAAGATCACAAACGGTTGAAAGAGTTCACGGCGCGCACTTAACAGTTGAAGGTGTTGGAGTGGCTGCACGAGCGCGGGTACTCCTCGGTTGGCCGCCCGTAGCCCTCCTGAATGATGGAGTACTCCGGCTCGCTGTAGTCCGACAGCTGCCGGTCGTAATTTCTGTCCCGGTCCCGCGGGAAGCCGATTATGGTCTCGGAGTTGCGCAGGTAGCCGTTGCCGTTCTCCTGCTTCCGCGAATAGCGCGAGTCCAGGTTACGCTGGAAGTTCTCCGGGTGGCACACGACGCCGTTGCGGTTGCTCTTCTTGTCCGGCAGGGACCTCAGTGAGCCGTTGTTGAGATGGTGGGCGGGCGCGCCGTTGTTCAGCGTGAGCGGTTGATGGGGCTGGTGGGCGCGGCCGTCGCCGCCGATGTACGTGAAGCCGTTGGCGGGCATCGTGCCGCCGCCTCCCGAGCGCTGCGGCCGTCTCGTTGAGCCCTGGCCGCCAGACATGAAGAAAACGCTCGGCGAGGCGTAAAGCTCTAGCTACAGCTCCGTCACCGGTATCGGCCTCAGGCCGGGGACGTGGGGGGGCGCCGGGTACTGCGAGGGGTGGATGCCGCGCACTATGCAGTCCTCCTCCGTCGAGATCGGCTTGTGGTACTCCAGGTTCTTGCGCCCCTTGTTCCACTTGTAGTCCTTCAGTTTCTCCTGCATGCTCTTGCGGTACCGATAGAATATTAGCACCAATGTCGCTATCGTAGCAACGCACGCGACTACGACAACGCAAATGATTGTCTGTTGCCGTGTGTCGTGTAGAATGCAGCCCAAGTCGTCGGCACTGAGCGTCTTCAAGTACTTGTCCTTCAGGTGGTCAGGGCTGGCGCATTGGATTTGAGTGAAGTTGCTCTTGTCGTTAAGAAGCTCCTGCAGCCACCGCAGTTGGCAATCGCAGAAGATAGGGTTGTCGTTAAGATCAAGCTGTCTTAATTCCTTTCCGATAAAGACCGTTTCGCTGAGCGTTACAATAGCGTTATCCCTTAGGGAAACGTGCTTCAATTTTGGAAGACCTAAAAGCGTACAATCGTCAATAACAGACAATCTTTTGTTATTAGCTATTATGATTGTTTCTAAATTTACGTTATCTTCAAAAGCTCCCTTAACGACTCGCTCTAATTGCGTCGCGCCAGTGATATCCAAGAACTTCAAGTTCTTCAAGCCCTTGAATGAGTGGCTCTCTAATTCGATAAAGTCGTTTTGGCCTATGTACAGTTCCTCTAACCTTGTCAGGCCGGATAACTGTTCCGTGGGCACTATATTTAATCTGTTCCCTAGGAGATTAAGACTCCTTAATCCCGGGAGACCCCTGAATGCGTTCTCACTAATGTTCGAGAGTCCAGCCCCGTTCAAATCCAAAACGGTCAACCTGTTCAGACCGGCGAATGCGTCGTCTGGCAGATATGAGAACGCATTCAGGCCCACGTGCAACTCGGCGAGACTGCCCAAAAGGCTAAAAGACGCCGTCGGTACTGAACTCAACTGGTTGTCGTCCAAGTATAATATCCTTAAAGCGGAGAGCCCAGTGAACGCCCTCGATTCGATCCTTGATATTCTGTTCTGGCCCAAGTTGAGTTCCTCTAACCGCGGTAGCGCAGTGAAAACACCGTTCGTGAGCTCCTCCAAGAAGTTCCTTTTGAGGTTGAGCACTGTGAGGGAGTTGAGGCCTTGGAATGTTGTGTTCGTCACCGACGATATCTTGTTATTGTTCAAATGCAGCTCTTGCAGCTTTCGCTGGTACGCGAAGCTCTTCGTCGGTATGTTGACGAGGTGGTTGTGCGACAGGTCGAGGTGTTGTAGCTCCGCGTAGAACTGCATCGAGCTGTCGATGGTCTTGATTTTGTTGTTGCGTATGATCAGCCGCTGGATGGAGGGGTTGAGCGCGATAGGGAGGACGTCGAGCCGGCTCTCCTCGCACACGACGACCAGCGTGTCGTCGTTGCAGTTGCAGCCGCTGGGGCAGTTGGCGAGCGCCGCCGCGCCGCTCCGCCACGACAGCAGCACGAGCGACAGCAGCACCTGGAAGTGGAGAGAGGAGCGGGTTGAACAACAACCGAAGCGAAAGGGGGCGGTGTACAAACGTACACCGGGACAGGCTTGGGACCGTCCCATGCTAACTTTTGACTAGTCCCTGTGAAATTGTATGAGCACTGAGACATTAATATCATATCATCTCAATAAGATTTTTCTAAAGAGATGATATAAATAAATGAGTATAAGTTAAGATTCCCGTGAAGGTTAATTGATTACGTCCTAAACGAACCATTTTCTTCAATATTGAACAGTTTAAAAAATTGTCTAAATTATACTCTAGGCAATTTTATTAAAAGCTATATTTCCATCCATATTAAAGACGCTTGAGATGTATTAGGTAAATTGATAGCCCCTCCATTATAAAATAAAACGAAATCAATGTTAGGCGAGGGAAGTTCGCCGGGACGGAAGCAAAAAGGAAAATGCAGTGATGTTGGAATGAGAATTTTGCGCAGTTTTAATTTATTAAAATGTACTCTGGCGAGGCGCGCAGCCACGGTAGCTTCTTCGCTTCAAAGACTAACGTACTTTTATTACGTTCTCCCCTTTCAGCAATTAGCGCTGAGAAGCGGGCGCCCGGCTTGATTCGACTACGGAGTTGCAGAAAGCGCTTAATGCTGTTAGCGCGCGATTACAGATGGATGCAACACCAACAATCTCGTGCTTTATACAAAGCGGCGAGTTTGTAGCACAAATAAGTTTGTTACAATCGCAGAGAGCAGCGCGACTCAATGCAAACTCAATTTTGAGTCCGAGATGGCAGCGTGCATCTTTCACCGTCTGTCTCTTTGCACAATTGAAAGTTGCGATGATTCTTTTTAATTTCTTACAAAGCCTTATATATAACTTTTCATCTATAAGTAGTGTTTTCTTGTTAAATGTTTAATTTTATTCTTTACCTTAACATTTTAATGAGGAGATAAAATATAATTAAGGTAAACATAAGATGTTTTCGGTTAAATACTGTTCAAAGGGAAGTTGTTTCAGTCATAACAGTTTTATACATTTTTTATGCAGTTTTACGGTAAACGACGATGAATGACAAATTTTTTACGTGTGCAAGCCATAATATGTGTAATAAACATATTTCCTGATTCAATGGTTTCACTTCCAAATACGTGGGTAACAATGGCGAGACTTAATGCCTACTATAATCCCCCATCACGCCCTGGATTGACTGGGAGAGCCAATCCGGGGCGTGAGGAGAAATCGTGGTAGGTGCAATATGATTTTTTATGTGAAAAGTTGACAAACGAGCAGGCGGTTCACCTGATGTTAAGTGAATACCGCCGCCCAAGGACATCTGTTACAGCCGAGGATTGCAGATGCGTTGACAACCTTTTGAAAATTGGGCATGGCATGGTTCATGATACATGTATTGTTTCTTCAGGAAAGAGAACATCCCACTTGCATGATATCTACACGACAAGCCGAGCCCGTTAGCCGAGCGGATTTTCCAGCGGCCATCCACTGTGCGTTGGCTTCGGTCGATCCGGCGCGGCACAAGTCATAATCAAAATCCTATATGCAGGTCGTTCGCAAACAGCGCACCGGCCAAATTCCCGCACGAAATCCAATAAAGCGGACTCCGTACGTTGTTTTATGAACGCTGCTGTGTGCGATGCTTTTTCGTCTGTTTTTTTGTTTTTTATGGGCATTAATCCCTCGTATATCGTGTCGTTACTGGGGAAATATTTCGCGCCGGTTAACGCGTCTAGCCTCGCGAATTATTGAATTATTGCATTAGGGCCGGTGATTAGTAGTTAAGTGTTGCAAGAATCACCATTAATTATTAAATAGAATCGTTAAAAAATAAATTAATGGCCGAATGTAATTAAATTCAATACATATACATATTAAGTTGTAAGTTTACAATTCAAGTATTTTGTTGATCGCAACAAACGGTTTCGACATGCAAATATATAAAAATATAAAAACCCTAGTTTTTATTACTAAGGTTTATCAAATTTTCGACCTTAAATTGGCTGGATTGGATTCGTTAATAGAGCGCATTGGCCATATACCGCAAATATACCGAAATTATTACTCAAATATAAATTTGTAATTATATCATAGAAGTAGACCGCAATTTGTCATCTATAATCGAACTGTATAATACCTAATAATACCATATTTCGAATTGCTAATTTTATTTAAATTATCTGAAGTTTACGTAATTTACAAATAACACGAAAACGAGCACTGAATATTTCCGTTGTATATTGTATTTATATCGCATGAAATCATGAAAGCATATCGCGTATGCCTTCGGAGACATATATCCGGGATTTTTCGCCCTATTTTGCAGCTAGGTGGCATTGCGAACGTTAAATAATACGCAGTTGTCGCTTTAAACAAGATTCCAACGATTTTTTTTTAATTTTGATAGTGTTTTTCAGGGTGACGTACCCAAAGGGTAAAGCGGTGCCAAGGGTAATAGGGTCTCTATTACTAAGACTCCGCTGTCAGTCTGTCTGTCACCACGCTGTATCTCATGAATTGAGAGAGTTAGACATTTGAAATTTTCACAGATGATGTATTTCTGTTGCCGCTATAAAAGCAAATACTTAATAATAATAATAATAATAAGTAAGTGGCCCGTATCCTAGGCCACAGAAAAAACCGACACCGAGTCGAGAATAAATCTATGTAAAATAATAATAATAATAGCCTTTTATTCAGATCATCTTACGGAAAGCAAATACTTAAACAGAATAAATAAGTGGGTGTAACAGACATGATTTTTTTCCCTTTTTATAGATAATGGTATGGACCCCCTGGATGCGAGAGTCCGACGCGAACTCGGCCGGCTTTTATTAATTTGGATACTTTAAGATCATACATTAAAATTTGTAGAAAAAATGAACGAAATACGTCGCCGTGGGGATCGAATCCACGTCTTCAATGTGGCTGATTGACATAACGACGAAAATCTCAACGTATTTTATCTAAATTGTTCTTACCGCATTTTAATAATTTCTTTACGTCATTCTGCTTAACTTTTTATAGTCATTATAGACAAGCTTAGGCTTCACACGTTAAGGCACCATCCCGAAACCAGTTTCGCTTCCGCCGGCGGGTAACCCTTATTCAAATCCGCGAACGACCCCCAGGGTGCTTTCAAACATTGCAAACATTTACAAACTGCCTTCGAACATTGGGCCGGCCATTCGGAGGAATGCCACATTCTATTAGGGTCGCGGCGCGTTGGCTCGGTAGCGCAGTCGCTACGCTATCGGCTTCGCTGCCGCGGGGCGTGGGTACGATTCTCGCACGGGACTATTATTTCCGTGACGGTGTTATTTTCCAAGGAAAGAACTGCTCGCAAAATATGTAACTAATAAAACTTACACATATGGTGACCCCACCTAGGCGGGAAGGGCGGAAGAAAGAGAGCGATTTTTTTTTACTGTAGTATGTATTACTAAAATTTTCCTCTGGTAAATAAATTTATTTTCTTTCTTTCTTTTCTCTCTATTATGATCGCTCGATTGTTAGCACTAAGTTGACATAACGAAGTGTCCGGTTTTGATGACGTTTCGAATGTACTCAAATTTTTAGCCGACTTCAAAAAGAAGGAGGTGGAATTTTTATTTTTTTATGTGTGTTCGCGGATAACTTCGTCGTTTATGAACCGATTGTGATGATTCTTTTTTTGTTGGAAAGGAGATATCCCAAAGGTGGTACCATGATAAGAAAACTCGGATCATCAGGATGGCATCTCAGTGACATCGAGCGCAATCCTCAAATGTTATAAGTATTAACAAAGTTTTTTTAGTTTCCGGTTTGAAGTTTTTTGTTAAAAATTATGTATGATGTGTATAGGAGCGCAAAAGTACTTATTATATTCGATCTAGTTAATGCCGGTTTATGTTGCAATTGCTGAGGGTTGCGTTGTAAGTTATAATTGCGGATTATGCTGGCTGTTCGTTATCAAGTTTCTGCCACGACTGTGGGATTTGAGTAACATGAGTACTAAGCGCTAGGAACAAGGCCCTATGGAAAATATACTCACTATCTAGATACTAACTCCAAGATTAGTGAGGAGATTAGGAGAAGATTTAGTTAGGTTTTTTAGTTTTTTACACGATTGTTTTTAAACGCATATGATGTTTATCATCCCGTGTATGTCTTGATTAAAAGCTCACTATATTCCTGTCAGTCAATAGGCGGTTAGCCTTCGAGTAGTCATACCAAATCTTTAAGTGCACTACCCATACAATCTGTTGTGTACAGCCGGCTCTCAAGACACGCCTGCACTGTAGAAATCATTACTTGACCCAAATACTCCGAGGTCTCGGCTCCGTGAACTCGTGCGTAGTATCTAAAGCAATCATCAATTAATTAATTTGAGAACACTTGAGAGCGCAGCCCGGAGCAAAACTAAGATGTAATTAAATGCGAGCGTATTAACCGCTAATTAGAGGATGATTTGATATGAAAACGTCATTTACGGGCTTATAACTCGTTTTTATTTAAGTATTCTTGACAATCGGCTTCTTGAAAACATAACAAGAGGCAGTCTCATAACCCAGTGGCTTGGATGATTGATTTATATGAAGTCACGGGTTTTAATCTTAAGGCGTGCGTCAATATTTCTAAGTGTATGGGTGAACTTTTAAAAGTACTATTAAAAGTAACATAAATCTTTTACAAGCCTCAATTCGCCTAATAACCTAGATGATATTTCAATACTGGTAGTACTTCATAGCCAAATGTAGTTTACTATTTTTATGTGAGAAAGTAGCAAGCCTATGGACATCTGCAATGGCCGTGCGGTGGCAGATGCGTTACCGGCTGTTATATGCAACAGCGAACTGTGGCCATAGCACAGTAAAAATTTGACGTTTGGCTTTCGACGTTCTTTTATTCATCATCACAACCAGAAAGTATTTGGCAAGTGCAATGAATGCGCGCCGTTTGATATTTTACATTTCTCCTTTCGAACAGCGAACGAATGATTTTCTATTCCGCGCGGGATGCAT